CGGGCCTTGAATAAGACGTCGGGTCTTTGGTAGGAAGTAGGGACTGAGTGTCAGGCCTTGAACAAGACGTCGGGTCTTTGGCAGGACGTAGGGACTGAGTGTCGGGCCTTGAACAAGACGTCGGGTCTTTGGCAGGACGTCGGGGATGAACGTCGGGCCTTAAGGTGGTGGTCCGGCGAGGTTTTGTGGTGGTCCGGCAAGGTTCCTGCGGTGGTCCGGCGGTTGTCCGACGAGATTCCTGCGGTGGTCCGGCGAGGTTCTGCGGTGGTCCGGCGGTGGTCCGGCGGCTGTCGAGGAGGAACTCCTTCCTTCTCTTCTCTTCTTCTCTCTCTTGCTTGGATCCCCTCTTATGAGAAATGAGGGCTCTATTTATAGATTTTCTGGAGTGGCATGGCCCGGAAATAGGCATGAGATCAGGGGCGAATAGGGAGTGGTCCAATGGACGGCCGATATCGAATCCTTTGATCATGTACCGTTCGTTGGGCATTTGAAGGCCTTAATGATGTCAAAATTCTGCGATCTTGGGCTCGTTGGATTCGTCTCGTCGAGCCGTTCGATTCGAGTATAAGCTCGTCAAAATCGGAGACCGTTTGGTAACTCAAATTGCAGTTTGAACCTTCCAACAGCGCTCTGAGCCCTTGATTCGGACTCATTTGGGATTGGATTGGGTTAATCTTGGTGTCGTTGGGTTCGTATTTCCGAGACGCTCAGTTTGACTATAAGCTCGCTGAAATCAGAGTTCGGGTGCGCCCAAAATTAATTTTTGTAGTATATATATATATATATATATATTTGCTTATTCAACGCATAAATATCTATAATGTATCATAGGCAGCAATCGAGAAATTATTATTATTAACAATAATAACATTCAAATCATTATCATCATGGAAATCATAACAGGAACCAAAGTTACCCTCCTGAGCCTCTATTTATGCATCTGACGGATCAATGAGGAACCAATCCGGAAGGTCTTTAGAAATCCAAGCATTCCAACTTTTTTAGTTCAATATAAATTTGTATGAATTATGTTATATGCTGAGTTGATTTCTTTAAACAGTCCAACGAATTGATTAATGCATTTACATGGGATGTTATATTCAGCATTGATACTTAATAACTTCACAACAATAGATAAATCCAAGTGAGTGGTGCGCCCCTTCAATATCGGTTGTTGGGCAGCATATAATAAATCATAAAAATTATGTCTTCATATTTTTTTTTATGTACCTTCATATTTAATGACTCTTTTATATATTGTTCAAATTGTGTCCCAGTTGCATCATAAACTAAATACTCAAGAGATCAAATTTTTTCTTCCTCAGCTATATTAGAACTTGCAGACGGGTCGCATCGAGAATCAAAATATGTCTCGTTCTCACTATGAGAAGTCCAATACCAATATTCTGGCATGAACCCTCTTCGATATAGATCAATAATTACATCATCTCGTCTTAAGTGTACTTGATTTTTATGTTTAGAACATGGACATCAAAACTTTCCATATGAGATGGAATTTGGCATTTGACATGCTATCTAGATGAAAAAATTCACCCATTAATGAACTCATCTGTTAATATCTTTTGTCCTTACGCTAATCGATTATACATCCAATTAACTTTTTAATTTCTAGTATATATAATATGAAGAATTTAGCCTACATATTATATGAAGATACTAGATATTGGAGTAACATTTGTTGAAGAAAAATATATTGAGTTCAAATTGATTTATAAATTGGATGGTGTTATTTCACACAAGTCCCATATCAATAAAAATTTTGACAACCTCCCGACTCTCCCCCGTTTAGAGGAAATTTAAGGAACCTTAGTATACCCTCCACATCAAGAAAGACGTGCACAATATTGTTGAGTGACACCTCAACTGTAATCTTCAATCCTACCATGCTAAGAAAAGCATGCATAGGTCATATAGTACCTATGTGAAAATACAGTTTTCGCTTGATATATTTTAGTAGATTTACCAACTTTTTTATGTGTGTGAACATAGTTTGCACTCTTCTTGTGTTTTTTATACCTCTACCTTTCTTAACATAAGCCAAATCCAATACCACTCCTTTCCTAACTAGGTCATCGGGAGGCCGCCATTTTATGTGACCAACCCATCTAAGTCAACTCTCTCACTCTCTATAATCTTATCTTCCATAGGAGCTTCTTCAACCTTTTCACGTATATGCTCATTTTGTATATTGTCTCTAAGAGTAAAGTCACTCATGAGCGTTCTTATATGTGTATTAGAGACACCGGCTTAAGCTTCCAACGGCTAACTACTTCTCCGTCCAATAAGATCTTTACACGTGTACACCTAATGTCTTTATATACTAGCTTCTGTACCTAGGACAAATTGAATAACATAATAATATTTCTTGTCATCTGGTTTCTTGTCTTCCTCAGCTCCGGCGAACTCACTCTGCCGGAGTAACCTCTCTTTCGTTTCTACATGGTATCAGGCCTTCTCTTCTTCCTTCTATTATGACAACGTCGCACTCCGCCTCTTCCTCTGCGGCCACCAACCAAATACCCGCCTCTCCGGTGGACATCTCACCGATCTCTCCATCTCTAAAGTTCGTTGTCTCAAATCTCAAGACCATCGTCCCAAACCAATTGTCGACCGACAATTATCCGATCTGGCGTCATCAGATCCTAAAATTGCTTCGTGCAAACGACTTTGAACACTTTCTTGCTCCGCCCCCTCCCTCCAGAGAATCTTCCGATCAACTGACCGCTCTCAAGAACTGGCGCATTACTGACCAAAACCTTCAGGCAGCCATTTGCTCGACAATATCTCCGACCGTCTTACCCTATATCATTCACCTCAATACAACCCACAAAATCTGGCAGATTCTTGAAAGCCAATTTCAGGCAACTAGTCGCTCCAAGGTAATCCAGCTCAAGAATGAGCTCCACCACGTCTCCATGAAGAATTCGTCGATGATCCAATATTTAACTGAAATAAAGAAACTAGTTGATCAAATTGCTTCCGCCGGATCCACGATCGACTCCGAGGACATCATCTTATACATCTTGAATGGGTTAACACCCGCCTACCAGTCATTCAAGACATATATCCGCAACTCCCCTTCCCCGATTCGGCTCGAGAATCTATACGCTATGCTTATCAGCGAGGAGATTCATGTAAACGCAGATGCAGCTCGCCAATCCAGCGAAACTGTTCAGCAGGCAGCGCTCTACGCCAGCAGGGGCCGTGGATGACGATCCAGAGGCGTTCCACGCAAAATTCTAGCAACACAAATCGCTCTGTCCAACAGCAGCCCGCTCCGACTTGTCAGATTTGCCTCAAGAAGGGTCATACGGCTGACGCTTGTTGGCACCGTATGAACGCCAATTACACTCCGTCCACTACTGGAACTAAATAGATTACTGCTCTGATGGCTAACCCCGAAGTCTTGTCCAGCGATTGGTTTCTCGACTCCGGCGCCTCCTCCCACATGACTAACGCTGTTGATAATCTTTCACAACCGACGTCATACAATGGCTCCGACGGCATCTTTATCGGGGACGGAAGAAACATCCCCATTGCTCACTCGGGCACGGGCATTCTTCCTACCCCGAATCGTAAGCTTTTCTTATCAAATTTGCTTCATGTCCCAAACATCTTGCATAATCTTTTGTCTATTTCTAACCTCGTTAAAGATAACAAAATTTCAATTACTTTTGACCCAAGTGGATTTGTTTTCAAGGACCTGATGACCGATCAACAGCTGCTTCAAGGACCCTGTAGCGGCTGTCTGTACAGGATACCGAACTCATCCGTATCTCCGCATCTTCCAACAGCTCTTCAGGTGTCCAAGCACTCTTCCTCTGTGTGGCACGACCGCCTGGGACATCCTCATCTCTGAATCTTGCAACGGATTTCTCAAAACGATCCTACCTTACGCATCTTTACTTCTTCTAAAAATTGTATTACATGTGTTCAATGTAAAAATCATAAGCATCCATTTGAGCATTCTCAATCAAGAACTCAAATACCTCTGCACATCGTGCATGCCGACGTCTGGGGTCCGTCTCCGGCCTCCTCCGTTCTAGGCTGCAGATTTTTTGTTATGTTCATTGATGACTTCTCCCGTTGTACATGGCTTTTTCCCTTAATACATAAATCTGATGTATTCAATGTGTTTAAACATTTCACTACGCTTATTGAAAATCAGCTTAATCATCGAATTAAAATCCTTAGGACAGACGGCGGAACCGAATTCACTAATCTTCAGATGAAATCCTTTCTTCTGACCAAAGGTATTCGACATCAAGTGTCCTGTCCCTACACCCCTGAGCAAAACGGCGTGGCTGAACGGAAAAATCGGCATGTGGTAGAAACCACTCGATCACTTCTACACAGAGCTGTCGTCCCGCATCAATATTGGCCTGAAGCGTGTTCCACGGCGGCATATTTGATTAATAGAATGCCTTCCCCAAACACCAATAACAAGTCGCCATTGCAATTACTGTTCCGCATCAAGCCGGATTATAAGCACTTGAAGACATTCGGCTGCGAATGCTTCCCATTGTTACCACAGCACACGCGTACAAAACTTGAACCAAAATCCAGATCCTTCATCTTTCTCGGTTACTCGGACAGCCATAAAGGCTACAAATGCCTTAACAGGGAGACAAACAAATTTTTCGTTTCACGACACGTTACATTCTTTGAGCATTCCTTTCCGTTCGCTAACATCATTACGCCTCCTCAGGTTCAACACAACGATGTTCCTCCCGCTATGCTTTTACCGACATCAATGGCATCTAAACAAAGACATCTGCCAAAGTCGCCCGTTATTTCTACAAACCCGACAACATACTTCCCGCCTCAATCAAGTCTCTCCTCCAGCCAAGAAGCTATGCCCGACCCTCCAGCAATAATCCCAGCCTCTGACTCTCGTTCACACATACCTCCCACTCGGCATCCCATGATCACCAGAACACAGACTGGATCACTAAAACCGACCGCACGGTTAAACCTTCTTGCTCACAGCCCTACCAGCTCTAACCAAGATCCCGATCCCACAAACTTTAAAGAGGCCTCCAAGAAGCACGAATGGAGGCAAGCAATGGCCGAAGAATTTCTAGCTCTCCAACAACAAGGCACTTGGCATCTCGAAACACCTCCTCCCAACGCTCAGGTGTTAGGCTGCAAATGGACCTTCCTCAAGAAATTCAATGTGGATGGCTCAATCGCACGATTCAAAGCTCGTATCGTGGCTCTGGGAACTCAGCAAGCACACGGTATCGACTACGCCGAGACATTCAGTCCTGTTGCAAAAATCCCGACCATTAGAGTCATGTTCACCGTCGCCCTCTTCCACGACTAGTCGGTACAGCAATGGGACGTATCTAATGCCTTCTTGCATGGCCAGCTCAACGACATCGTATATATGGTCCAGCCACGAGGTTTCACCGATAAAGATCATCCTAATCACGTTTGTAGGCTGCTCAAATCTATCTATGGCCTACGTCAAGCACCCCGTCAATGGTACACTACGTTCACCAACCATCTTCTCAAGCTCGGGTTCGAGTACAACAAGGCAGATCCGTCTCTGCTCACTCTGTGCCGGGGCAAGATACGCATATTTTTATTAGTCTACGTCGATGACATTCTAGTCACCGGCAACGACAACAACGCCATTTCCTCTGTTCTGTCGGAACTACAATCTACATTTAACATGAAGGATCTCGGCCCAGCCCATCACTTTCTCGGCATCAAAATACAGAAACAATCAAATAAGTATTTTCTTTCTCAATCGTCGTATGCTGAATCTATACTAAGCTCTGTCAATTTAACAAACTGCAACTCTTTATCTAATCCTTCTTGCACTAAATTACCGGAACAGGTGCTTGATGACGTTGTCCTCTCCGATCCCACCACCTACAGGAGGGTCACGGGATCTCTCCAATACCTAACACTAACTCGACCCGACATTGCGCACGCCGTCAATGTACTATCCCAACATCTTCATGATCCCACACCACAGCATACTTATCTGCTCAAGCGTTTGCTGCGGTATATCAAAGGATCAGTGAAACTCGGTTTACCTATTCTTCCAGGACCGCTCACCCTATCTACATACTCCGACGCAGACTGGGCGGGCGATCCCAACACCCGGAAATCTACCACCGGGCATTGCACCTTCCTCGGCAATACTCTTATTTCATGGACTGTTAAAAAGCAGAATACCGTTTCAAGATCCTCAACAGAGTCGGAATACCGCGCGTTAGCGGCCGCTACCGCCAACACTATCTGATTGAAACGACTGCTCACCGACTTCTTCATCCAATACAACCAACCGATCGATTTGTTCTGCGATAACATGTCAGCTATCGCCATAGGCGGATGGAGGGGGGGGGGGGGCAAGGGGGGGCCCGTGCCCATCCATTCAAATCACTCCCAATTTAATTTTTTATTTATTTACATTTTTTCTTGAATGATATTATCTTAATCCTATATTAATTCAATCTTAAATAGATTTTATAATTTTTTTTTTGTGTGCAATGAGATTTTTAATATCACATATTTAATTAATATATTAAACATGTTCTAGCAGAAATCAAATGATTTGATGATTGAAGTCATTTTGTGAAGAAAGAAAATAAACTAATTTACTACCAAAGTTTTATCATTTTTAATACTAATTATATTGATCCTAAGCTTGAATGTAAAAAGTTAAAGGAAAATTTTAAAAAAAAAATTTAGGCCCCCCCTAGATATATTTTCTGGCTCCGCCACTGGCTATCGCCCTGGCTCACAACCCGGTCTTTCACGCTAGAACAAAGCACATCGAGATTGATCACCGGTTCATCCGCGATCACATTCACAACCACGTCATTCGGCTTCTTCCGATCAGCACCACATATCAGTTAGCCGATATTCTAACTAAGCCACTATCTACAGTCAGATTCAAGGAGCTACGAACCAAACTAAACATTCAAGAAGAATCTTCAGTTTGACATGGGATATTAGAGACACCGGCTTAAGCTTCCAACGGCTAACTACTTCTCCGTCCAATAAGATCTTTACACGTGTACACCTAATGTCTTTATATACTAGCTTCTGTACCTAGGACAAATTGAATAACATAATAATATTTCTTGTCATCTGGTTTCTTGTCTTCCTCAGCTCCGGCGAACTCACTCTGCCGGAGTAACCTCTCTTTCGTTTCTACAATGTGCACAATAATGCCAATGAATTTCTCCACTTTAACCATCTAATTTGAATTATACTAAAAGTATCCACATTAGCTGCCTCTCTAGTCTTATCAACAAGAAGAATATCATCAACATAATGCATACACTATGTTATAATCTCTTGTAAATGTCTACCGAGAACAACCATGTTCAAAGCAAAAATAAAAAGGCTAATCAAGATAAACTTACGATGGATTTTTGGCAATTAATTAAGGTAGCGAACATCGGGTAACAGAGCAGTCTCGACAGAGGCGGGGTTCGTCTAAGGCGACTAACGTGAGCGGGAGAGAATCAAAATGACCAGGAGTGAAATGAGAAGGAAGGCGACTGCATGAGGGAAATAGGGTCTTCTCGAGCAGGTCCGCCAGAACTATTTTGTTGGGTTTAAATAAGATGATGAAAATTTCATCAGAAATTTCTGGTATGTTTTTGGCTGTAAATTACAGCCAGTTTTACAATAAAATGATAGATGTGCCAGCGGATTTTTATATGGTAATTTTTAGAAGGTTTATCCGCTTGAGAATATGCACTATGTTATCGGCGGAATATCTATCGGTTACACCGCCACAAATGCCGCAAGTAAATCAAGGTTTTCTTGTAGTGAAACCAGTGTTTTCCTTATCCACATTGTTGACCGGTTTAAGGATAGTCGAAGCTTCCTTAACTAATTAAATGGGGTGGAGTTCCAAACATTCCATTTTTAAATGCCCGGGAATCTTGCAATGCTCAAAAAAAGGGTGGGGAATTCCTCCATCAGAACATGTTGGATATACCCTAAATTATGAGGCCCAATCCAAATCTTCTTATGATATCTTATAGTATTAAGCTCAACTAAAACTCGCACAACAGAATTATGTGAGATGATCGAAGTTGCATTATCAATATAAAGAGGACTATCAAATAAGGAATCCAAACTGTGCAAAATACAGGGAGAAAACAGATATGATAGCATATTTGGGAAGAAAATCAAGATAGGAATTAAATATGGGAGATTCCTCAGCGATATTGAAAGTAGGAGTCCATTTAGTTAATTTCATAAAATAAATGTTAACAAAGTGCAATCGATGGGAAAAAATAAATGTTTGGGACTATTTTTTTATTGCTTATTAACACAACTTTTTAGTATAAAAACTTTAATTTTTGTATTAAAAAAACTGTTTTAAAAACAAGTAAAAAACCGTCCCAAACGAATCCTAAAACTAAGTTCGATTGACTTCATTTGAAAAATAGTCTATCATTCTGATTTTATAAATGTTACAACTAAAATTAATTGATTAATACTTTATTTTGGACAATTTTTTTTTACTATTTTTAAAGTAAATTTTTTAATATAAAATTTTTTAAATTGAAAATTTTTGTATTAAAACACTATTTTAAAAAACAATAAAAAAATTATCTTAAATCAATCCTTAGATAATTTATAAAACAATAATAATTTTTTTATTGCCTATAGCTTACAAAAACCTTCCCGACTCTCAACCCACACATTGAATCCTCACTGCTCGTCTCTCTTGAGTGGCACCCCCTGTCATTTTTTCTGCGAATTATTACGTCCGGTCCGGTCACCGGACACTCAATTCAGTCGCGCCACATCACCCGAATACACGGTATCCCGGTGCATTTTGGTGACGTGATGACACCGGACATAATAATTTGCCCATTTTTCCCTTGCTTCTCCTGCTCTCACTTGATTCGCACAGCCATCTGCTGCTGCAATAGACCTTCAACATCTCTAACAAGCAGAGCAAAGAGAGAAGTTAAGGATTATTAATGGAGTTATATTTTTGATATGTTACAGAGATTCAGACATTGGATCGGATAAATATTTATATTTATTAGATATTATATAAAATAAGTATTAATTAAGTAACATTCATGCAAATCTCCTAGTTTATTCTAGGTCGATTTGTTGACTATTTGCTCTACAATGTTCAGAAACTAGATAAATATTTTTATTCAGCTGCAGATCAAGCTGATTTATGATCACAGATCACAGAAAAAAAAAAAAAAACTGTAGTTTTTCTTAGCTTCTACTGCTAAAAGCCTGCAGCACAGGGAAATAACTAAACCAAAAGAGGGTCGAGAGCTAAATGGTTAGGATGATTTGCTATTCAAATAGGTTGCACCACTGATTGCTGTATACATCCATGAACAGGATGATAGAGAAGCAAGTGAGAGAGAAAGAGAGAGAGCTATTTAAAAAAAAAACAGATAAAAGATTATTTTTGGTTAACCGAAAGAAAAAATTTAATTGCATGTAGTATTTATAATTTCTACAGTATGAGGGCATCTCCAACCGAAAACCGGTTTTCCACTCCAAAATGCAACAAAACTTTAAAATGCAGTAATTCATCTCCAATCGATTGGCATTTTCTCTTTTTCTTTCATGTGCTTCGTGCGAATGTAACCATTTTCTCCTCTTTCCTGCGCTTTTCTCCTCTATCAAGCGCTTCTTTGGCAAATCCCGTAGTCCAAATTTTTTTGCGAAAGTGAACAGTCCGACGCCAATATTGACGTTAGATTGTTCACTTGCCGAACTTTAGCATGAGATTTGGTTCGAATGGAACGAATAGCCGACAACATATGGTGGTATGCCGTTTGATTGGAGATGGTATGATGCAAATGAAATACACGTCAAAATCAACAATAACAAAAGCCTGATCAAATGCTCAATCAAGTTGGCATTCAATATAGCTAACGACTAAAGATATTTCTTCATAATCTCACATCATGGAGTTTTATTCTCGTTAAAGCTCGCTCGATCGTTTTTTCCAGTGAGAAATAATTTGTAAAAGTCAACTTTTATAATTATGATGATGATATATGTCATGCATCATGGCTCGTGAATGATGGTTGTGTTCATGATATCATAGCTCGTGAAGGATGAAATAGTTTAAACTGATCACGAGAGAGTGGCCAATCTGGTTCAAGTGCAGCTGTTTCTTATTATTTTTTTTAGTTTTTTAAGCTTGAAAAGATCAAAGTCTGGTGCACGAATGTTAGCTAGCTAGATATGTAACAGCTTTTCTGTCAAGTTCATGAGACTAAATACTTTTTTACATATTTCTATGGGCGCCCATAGGTTTCTTCTTATTCATAGCGGATTTGTTATGGTCTTGTTTTGCACGGTTGAGTTGATGACTGGCTGGGGTTTTGTCTCATGTCTTTAGAAAAGGTACGATATCCGTCGGGCTTAGCTGAGTTGGTGGGCGAGCATGATTGAGAACCCCCAACTCATGTTCGATTCCTCTCTTAAGTGGCGCGACTCCTTAAGTGGGGAAAAATAACTGTGTGACCCTACTGCACTTGTGGAGTGTGGGGTTGGTTGCTGGTATAGGCGCACCGAGGGATTAGTTACGCTGTCATTCGCCTCCTTTGAAGGTAACAGCTGATAGATAACCCGTTACTAAAAAAAAAGAAAAAGATTCAAGAACTAATGGTGGTTTAATACAGTGTTACAATAAATATTGGTAGCGGTTTGAGGTCTATTTAGAACAGCTTTCTTTCTGTTGTATTTTATTTTCAAATCGTAATCATATTGACCTCTGATTAATGGCTTTTTTATTTTATTTTATGAAGTTTTGTTGTTTATAATAACTTTTTTTTTATTTGTTTGTTTGTTTTTTGACTTTTTCTGCGGTTATACAGATTTGTCAAAAAAAAGGAATTTTTAATCTAAACATATATAATTATTTGTTGGATGTTTTTTGTAACACAAAAATGATTGAAAAGCTCTCCCAAACGAAATCAAGTTCTGTGGTTTATGCAATAATTTTACAACATCAATGGTCGTTAACTTATAAGAAATTTCGGATGAAGATGATCTGATTAAATTATTTTAATCAAAATAACTTTAAAATTATTAAATTTATTTTAGATGAGTACATAATATTTTAGAAGAATCAATTAACATTTTTATTGCACTGAATCTAAGAAAATAAATAAATTTTACTACACAAATATATAATGATGAAGCACACAAATGTCTCCCTTAATCATATATGGTTACATGATAGACTCATAATTCACGATACTTTTGTATATGGCATGACCTTTGGCGAACCATTTTGTGTTCCAAGGCCGAAGTCCAATTTGTTTTTTCTTTTTTCCTTGCAAGTGGTGATCTCTGTCTAGGCTGTTGGATGGTCGTCTTGCACTTGACTTCCGTTTGTTATTCCTTTGGCTAGTTTGTGGCCTTCTGGTATGGGGTGTTGCTCCTTCTCTGCTTTGGTTCTCTTTTTGTTTATCTTTATTGTATCCTAGATAAGTTCTTGGGCCTTATAGGTTGCGTTTTTTCTTCTGCATTGGCTAATGGTCCTTTAAAGACTTGTACCCGCTTTCTTATTTAACGCGTCGGCCCTCTAAAAAAAAAAAAGACAGAAGTCCAAATTTCCAATGAATCTCAGTAGGCTAACTAACCATCAAGCTTTTTGCATCTTTAACGTTGAAGTATCTAGTTATCATTTGATGCTATTATATAAAGCAGATTAATATAACCAGCAATTCTTTTATAGCCATAAAGCTATATTTAGTTTATGTTAATCTCTCTTTTTAAACATGTTAGATTTATGATGATGCTTAGCTTCATGAAAATAGATAAAATGTGATAAATAAGATTAAATAAAGTAAATGCACAATTGTAATGATTTTTTAGATAAATGATTAGTCATGTATGAGCAGATTATAATTATTTAATTTGTCTTTAATATGAGATGATGATCTCTTCATTGATGTAATAGAATTAATGATCCATCGTAGAGTGTTTTGATGGTGTAACTTGATATGCCATAATTGACAAAAGATGTCATAGTCAATATATATGGTTATATTATGATATAGATTGCAGTCGATTATTATAGAAGTCAGTTTATTATATATGTGGACACGACAATGATATTGGTCAACTTAGAATTTTTTTATCAAATGATTAAGATATGGTCAACCTATACATCACGGAAGTTTTTTGTGTAGGCCACAGATGCAAATATATATATAATGATGAAGCACACAAATGTCTCTCTTAATCATATATTGTTACATGATAGACTCATAATTCACGATACTTTTGTATATGGCATGACCTTTGGCGAGCCATTTTGTGTTCCAAGGCCGAAGTCCAATTTGTTTTTTCTTTTTTCCTTGCAAGTGGTGATCTCTGTCTAGGTTGTTGGATGGTCGTCTTGAACTTCACTTCCGTTTGTTATTCCTTTGGCTAGTTTGTGGCCTTCTGGTATGGGTTGTTGCTCCTTCTCTGCTTTGGTTTTCTTTTTGTTTATCTTTATTGTATCCTAGATAAGTTCTTGGGCTTTATAGGTTGCCTTTTTTTCTTCTGCATTGGCTTAAGGTCCTTTAAAGACTTGTACCCGCTTTCTTATTTAACGCGTCGGCCCTCTAAAAAAAAAAAGACAGAAGTCCAAATTTCCAATGAATCTCAGTAGGCTAACTAACCATCAAGCTTTTTGCATCTTTAACGTTGAAGTATCTAGTTATCATTTGATGCTATTATATAAAGCAGATTAATATAACCAGCAATTCTTTTATTATGAGCGCTATCATTCTTTTTTGGGCTAGATATCGCAAATCATAGCAGTTACTAAAGCCAAAAAAATAGATAGTTAAGAGTTGTAAGTAAACAGATCATGTCATGATGAGAAATCCCATGAGAAATAAATTGTCCATAATTTTCAGTCTACCAACGTAAGACATGCACTCATGTATACAAAGCAACCAAACATAATCAAATTAAAGGTTTTATTTGGGACTACTTTTGATCACTATTTTTTCGTTACTTTAAAAAAAAATTGTACTAGAAAGCTGCTGTAGAAAGTAACCAGAAAACTACTCCAAACAATACTTATGGGGCTTCCTCAACATCTAAGGAAATTATCTTTTTAGCCTCATAAAAGCTGAATTTATATTTCTCATTTCATAATATTTTATACTTCACTTTCTATTCATTTTTTGCGAGTTTTGAAAGGGCGTCTCTTTAATATTTTTCTTTTATGTTGAAGGTATATATATATTAAAATTATGAATATTAAACATAAAAGAATGAATATTTTGCATAAGTGTTGTTGTAGAAAGAACTTACTACATCTTTTAGTATGTGTTAAAGCCGCTATTAAATGATTGAATAGATTAAAAAAATATAATCTGAAAAAAAAAATCAAATTTTGAGATCAAATTTCAAATTATAACACAAGATTTCACTCAAGTATTATATGAAGCATAAAACAATGTGTGAATTGGTCTACTATGAAATATTTCAAAGTTGCTTAAAAATTATGAGCTGATATAAATTCATTGTTAAAATTTTAACCGATCAATCAACTTTTATCATTAGCCCCATATCGTCTAACAATGTCATTATTTCCTGCGACATTCTTAAAGATTTTACCTTCCCTGTATGATACTCATCAATTTTGTGCTAAGCTTGATACAAGGAAGCCCTTTGATCTAGCTCACAGATATTTTCTTCTTCATAGATTAGCTCATCAGAGTTTCTGCTGCACTTCGTTTAACAAAACTAACCCTCACATATTTCCACATTGACAACCCGGCATGTCAAATTTTTGCAACTACCGGTCGTCCCAACAACTCTTTTCAAAATCGTTTATGTTAGGGAATGTGCTCTAAAGAAATATTATTGTAATATATTTTTCATGGAAATAAATATTTAAAGACGAGTTTAGCATGTTTCAATATTATCATTTGATATAATATCTTTATTCCATGATTATTTATGTAACCATAATTTAGTATATATATAATTATGTATAAGAGGATTGAGTTATGAAAGATAATCAAAACAAGTTCATATAACATCCTGATTTTCATTTCTGCTATTATAAATGGATATAAAGATCCAACAGTTTATGCAAGACTCTGGCGTTGGTCGACTGCTGGGTAAAAGTCCGGCGATGATCGAGAAGGAGCTTCTTCCTTTTCTTTCTTTTATTCTTCCTGCTCTTCTTGCTTGGGTCCCCCTTCCAAGAGAAATGAGTGATATATTTATAGCTTTTTTAGGATCAAGATAATTAGTTGTTTTTTTATTAAGCGATAAATTATTAAAACATAAAATCCACCCAACTGTCAAGTCCAAAATGGGTTGATTGCTTAATCTCCTTGCAACAATTTGAGCCTTAAAAAATAGGTTGGTGGCCACAAGAAGGGTTGGACAGAACTCTCATATACATTTGAGAAATTTTTATTAGACAAAACTTAATCTAATGTCCCTTAAATGATCAATCCAATATGCTAAACTACGAAGTATTATTATTGGCACGGACTTCTCCATCCACTATCAAAGAGATTAAGAGATTATTACGTACGGAGTTTAAACTCAGAGAATCGTTCGGTTTTATGACTGAGAACAATAAAAGAGCAGGGGCGATGCTTTTAGTGTTCATAGTCGCCACCAAGCCCAAGGGTGGCATTGGAGGACAATCCGATAGGCTTTATCATACGAAATCCTAGCTAAGGGAGCATTGAGAAACTGATTGGAATCAACTTTAGTGGAATTTAATAATTCCTGTAAATAAGAACTTATTAAATCTTGAAACTGATGAATTTTGAAAATTATTTGATATAATAAATGATAAATCATATTAAATTGATAATAGATTACAAAATTTAAAATGATTGAAGATTTAAAATTAAAAGAGTAATAATAAATTATGAAAACAAGTGGGATCAATGCTGGAATAAGAAAAAAAAAACTTTTGTTGGTTGCCGCTACTTGTGCGACGTTGAGAGGGATTATCGAGGGAATGAGGGCATTTTCTATCTAGATAAGAAGTTCACACAATCTTTTATGTCACATACATCTCAATCACTTAAATGAAATGAAGCGTGAAATTAAGATTTACGGGTAAATCCCAAATTTATGGATACATGCGATTTACAATCACATGGATGGATTTACATTAATTGATGCCAAATCCAATATCAAATGCCCCCTAAGATTCGTAACAACGATCACCATAGCATATGCTAATAAACATCGTCATTACTTAGGGCATCTCCAATCAAAAATCTCATTTTTTTACTCCAAAATATCATTAAACTAAAAAATACTATGATTATGCCATGATTCATATCCCATCAAACTTCATTTTGCCATATGTAAAAATTTTCTTCCACAAATTGGGTAAAGACAAATATGAACAGTATAGACCCAATCGTCCCAACGTTCACCGCCAATTGTAAACTTCAGCACCTATTAGATTGCAACCTTACAGGCAATTATCTCTACGGATAAGTTGGTTCTCAAAGCCCAATAAACGCTACTTTGGTCTCGTTCTCTATCGAAAAAACCCGCAGCTGATTTTTTTTTTCTTTTTTTTGAGGCACGTCTTGCAAAATCACAGAATTAAAAAAAAAAAGAACCACTAATTATGTCAGCACCAAAGGCCCATAAATAAAATACCAGTCATTATAAAAAAAAACAAACAAAAACGAAATCATCTTACCCAAGTTCATTTAGATCAACTCATATACTTTTTTTTTAGATAACTCATATACTTAAAACACGAACTTTACTTGATTTAACAACATCGATAACTAAACCAGGGCAAGGCAAACAGGACAGAAAAACCCTAAACCCTTACAGCCATCAGAAACCCTAATCGATATTGACATGGAAAACATCCTTCCTCTCCTCCTGCTTCACTTTGGGCACAATAACCTTCAGCACGCCATTCTTCATCTCCGCCCTAATAGCGTCCAACTTGTAGAGCTCCGGTGCCAGATCTATCCTGGTACTGTACCTCCGGTGGCTCTCCTCATCCCCTGCTTCCGCCTCTCCTTCTCCGTTAATAAAAAGCGTCCCCTGCTCCGCACTTACCTTCACGTTCTCCTTCCCCAGCCCCGGCATATCCATACGTAGGCATAACGCGTCATTATCCTCCCTTGCGTCCCATCCCCGCCGTAGACCGCCGGTGCCTCTAGCCGCTGACGTGAACGGCCTGTCAAACATCGAGTCCATCATGTTTAGCAGCTGGCTCACCGTCCGCGGAACGAATGGATCCATCACATCTGCAATCCGATAAGAACCATTTTAGTACTCCCATGATAAAGACGATCCAGTATTTCAAGAAAAAAAGATATCATTACCAGAGAGTTGGGCTGGGAAACCGTCGGCGCGGCGGCGGTAAACGGCATCTTCGCCGGGGCGACGGTCAATTTCGAGGTCGCGATCGTCCTCTGGCTCACGGATTTGGGCATTTGTGTTGAACGAACGCGCGATAACGCGGCCTGAGGCAGCTAGCGGACGCGCCGGCGATGATAGAAGATTCTGGAAGGCTTTGGAGAGAGCGATCGACCTCTTTGCAGTGATCAAGGCCGCCATGACGATTATGTGAGAAGACACAGATTGAATAGAGGAATTCTTACACCGTGCTTTGATATTGGCTCAATTGTCGATGGCTGGAATTGCAAAAAGGTCCTCATTTTATAGGGAGAGTAGAGGCTAATAATACGCGATCGACATGTTCCAGAGGATCTTGGAAGGCTCTAGACTCCAGAGCGAACTCAGCGATTATGCAGGGAGAAAGGAACATTCGAGAACGTCCTCGGTGTTTTTTTCTAGAATGATATTTTTTTTTCTAGCTAGCTGGTAGAAAAATACTAGAATGTGAGATAAATGTTTAAATTTTGATAATTTAAATTTTGTATATAGCCTTGATACGCCACAAAAAATTATATTGATCTAGCATGAATCTCAAGGCATGTTGAATTGAAAACTGTCAAAATTTAAAATATGATAATTTAAGCTCTGATTTCAACAAGTTTATAGTCGAATTAAATGGTTATAGGGACAATACCAACGACGCTAAAATTATGAGTGTCAATTCGGATCAAAGGGTCAGGTTCAGGTCGAACCCGACTTGACCCGACCTTAAACATGTCGACACTAACTCGATCCGATTTTGAAAAATGGTTAGGATTGTCAACCCGGATCTGACCCATGTGTTTTACTGGATTGACCCGACCCGTCTCGCGAGGGAGGGACGGCAGCAGTCTTCTGCTCTCAAGCGGGACGGTTGCAGGAACATCTGCAGCTCGTGGACGGGACAACATCGGCAATCTTCATCTCTTCGCACTACTGCTAGCTTCAAGCCTTCAATGGCAACAGCAGCACGAGGCGAAATGGCGACAAACCAACATCGGTGATGGCGTGATGCAACCCTAAGTGACGAGACAAATTGATGTGACCCTGAGCGGCTGAGCAATGCGACTGAGTGACGAGACAGGTCACACGTTTGAAAAATGGGTCAATTTGGGTCGACCCACGGGTTTCCAGATCGACCCGAACCTAACTCATTTTTCAAACGGGTAGGAAAATCGAACCATGACCAGAACCAGGACCCGGCCCGTTTCACAAACGAGTTGACCCAAAATTCGAATTTTTTGGGGCTGAATTTCTGGTAATGTCAATTTTGATACCCTTATCTAAAATTGGTCCATCCCGAACCCAAATGATCCCAAATCAACGGATCAAAGCGTACTTAGAAGCTTAAAGCATTAATTGTACAACCAAATGACGTATGAATATGACATGCTTATAGTCCAATCGAGCGGCTATAAATTCTAACATCATTAAGGACTTAAATGCTTAATAAAGCTCTATGATCAAATGATCAATATGGATTGTTGGATGGAACACTCCTAGTTTATCCTAGATTTTTTGCATATTTATGGAGTATCCGACTCTCAAAAACCTATAAATATGCCATGATTTTTCACATAAAAAAGGGAAAAAAGAGAAAAGAAATGAAAGATGATGAAAAACTCTATAGTATTTTCCAACCATGCTACGGCCGACAACCACTGGTTATTGCCATCAATAATCACCCGTTATTACCATTTACATTTGTCGTCATCTCCAAAATATTTTCAAGATTTGAACTTGTTGTTGGGTAGATTTGTTCTCATGTGAACACTTACTTTCTAAAATTCCTCCTAGGAAGAGTAAGCTCTATTATTGAGCGTAAATATTTGATCTCGTAATATTCTGCTTCTTCAATAGTGAAGAAGGCAAGATATTTGCATCACTTACTATATAGTGGATTTTGAACTGGGCCAAGTCCCATGATTTTTTTCTTTTCCTGATTTTCATGAAAAAAGTTATTTGGTCTTACTGTTCGTGTAGAATTTGTGTACACCACTAAGAAAACATTCACTATACCGACTCAAATTTTCTAGCATGCAATAGTTTGACGTCGTCTGTTGGGAAACTAATTCCTGGATGTGGGGCAATTTTTACTTCAATTTTGAGAAGTCATCCATGTTAACTTCTTGGGCACGATTGAAGTGAAATTGTCCCTTTATCATGACCTATTATCAGGTTCGAAAGAAGTCCTTCAATATGGAGGACAATATCGTTGCAATAACAAACATATATTATTTTATCACCTCTCAAAGATCAGCTATTACTGCATAAATTTCATGGGAAGCAAATTTGGACTAGGGGGCAATATTGGTTGTGATCTCAAATACGATTGTAATAAACTAGTTCCTTGATAGGGGCGGTGGAGTAACCTAAATAATTATAAAAAAAAATTATGGCTCTATCAATTTCTAAATAATGATTAAGTTTTCTTTGTTACAAATTAAACTTATAATGACTTCTAAATTATTATTTGACTAGGTAAAAATATAGGCAATTACATGCCACCTCGCCACTATCATTGGACCTCTAGTCAGAACACCCCAACCAACCAACATCATCGAATCATTGCCATACCATAATCATCAGACGACGACCCCCGCATGGCCACCATCGACAAACTATTTATTAGACCAAATTGTTGTTGGATTATTGTCATTGTCAAACTGTCATCGTAATATTGCTGGCATCACTGAACCACCATCATTGGATCGATGTTGCTTTAACATTGATATTTGACATTATTTTCAGTAGAACACTACCAACACACTCCATTGTATGACCAACTGCCCAAACACAGTCATCAAAACAATTGTCATCACGGACCATTGCCACCATATTGCTATTGCTCGACTACTATTATGAAACTACCGTTAATGTTGGACCACTCTCATCATACGCCATGACTCAACCTCCATAATTAGGCCATCGTCGCACGAACAACATCGATGGACTGTCGTCACTCAATTACAACCATATTAATGATGTTGTTTCCTACAAACTCCATAAACATATTCTTCCACCACTCATCATCCCATATTCTCTTATTTTGTGGGCGAGCAAATATTCATTATCAACCCTCAAATTGTGGAATTATTTAAGTTGGGCCATGCATTATGATTTTTACCTTCCTAGATTTGCCACGTAAAAATTATAGTATCTACTTTTATTTATTTATCTTTTTATGTTTAATATTTTCATGCAAAACTAAAATGTAATTTTTTTTTTCAATTTACTATCACAATTTTTTAGCACAAGTAAAAAAAAAAAAAAAGAGAGAGAGAGAGAGATGACAAATTAAAACTTAAATTGTGTCACACATATAATACAATTTAAAAAATGGTTTATATTCATTTCAAATATAATATTCAGTCAAATTCTCTAGCAATTTGCTAAAAAACTATAGAATATCAATATCTTTAATCATCTAAATGCAGGAGGGCAAAATAACTCAAAATATTTCGAATATATAGTACCTAAAATTTCTCACAAATCTTATTTTTTTAGGAACGGGGTTATCCACAGACTGTCAATTCATAGAGGAGGCGCTTGACGGAGTAACTAATCCCTCGTAAAGCCTAACAACAACCAGCCCCACAACTGCCAGACGACACATATTTTTTCTCACCACTTAAGAAGTGAAGCCACTTGAGAAAGGAATCGAAGGTTGTTTGGTGTGTTCCTAATTACGCTCGCTCACCAACCTAATTAAGCCGGGTAGGGTCCACACATAAATCATGTTGCCGCTCCATTTAATTTGCTCCATTTATTTGGATGGAGCCCAATGTTCGGAGATCCAAGTTCGGATAATTGCTATTAACGTTCTCATTAAACGGCGTATAGTTTCGACCCTCCACGAACCCTAGCTCGAATTTGGCATATCCGCTTCGATCCCATGAATTCTCCCGTGTCTTTTCCCGGCAAAATCTAGCACTTCAAATACGACTGAGGATTATTACCTCGTCGTTCTGCTAGAACAATGTCAATATCTTCCGTAGCTTCTCCTTCTAGAAGTTCATTTAGAAAGCAGAACACAAGGCGACTTCCATCAGTAATCTCGGACAGAAGCCTTATCGAAGGTCCTGCTTTCGTTAACCTTCCTGCTTTCCCTTCTACTGTGCACCCCTATCGGCGATTGTTGTTATACCAGAGCAAGCCCATCTTTTGGAGAAAGTCAACTCGTCGGTGGACTGGAGTTCCTTTGTCAGGTAATGGAATAAACCTCAACTAATTACGGTCACGGATGGGTAAAGGGAGGATTTTGAGCTAAAGGTGCGATTTTCAGGTGAAGATGTTGGTGAAGTGCGACATAGGGAGGTTCAAGGCGAGCTGAGTTTCGATGCTTTCCTATCAGCGGCTGAAATTTTTTGCATTTTGCCGCCATCCATTTTTTCGATAGGTTGCTTGCTTGGTTTGGCGATTCCCGGTGCGTCTAAGCTGTTCCAGTGTTCACTTGGAAGCAAGTTTTGTGTTTGGCAGTTTTTTTTCTTGGTTTCTGCGGTGGCGATTGAGGGATTGATTCGTAGGAGGCAGTGGCGGAGGATTTGTGGGGAGAATGAGGGGGCCGCTGGCGTTGATTTAATTGCGAGGATAGAGAAGGTGGAACAGGATATGAAGAGCTCCGCCACAATTGTTCAGATGTTGTCGAAGCAGCTTGAGAAGCTTGGTATTAGGTTTAGGGTCACAAAGAAGGCTTTGCAGGAGCCCCTTGCGGAGGTTATGCTTCTGCTGCAGTTTATCATTGCATATTGCTTGATTTCTCTTTGTAATTACTTTGAAGAAATGGAATACTTCATTGTCATATAGCTCTATTAAATTAGTTGTACATTATACATAAACGAAAATTTGATTGTAGGATTTATGCTTTAGGCTCAAAAGGTCACCCCATTCTAAAGCTGAAATTGTCAGCCTAAAGCAATCCATCTTGATTGAATCAGTCAAAGTTGATTAGTGCAAAGCTGTTTGGTACTATACTGTAACACTAAAGTGTATTGGCTTAGAATATGTTTTCTTTTTTCCTTCAGTTTTTTAGTATACATGTTTACACAAAATCCTGCAATGCCACGGCGCTAATCGATTCGGAGACTGCCTTAGTTTTATCTAGAAGACCTTTATTTTGCAAAGTTTAGTAACTATTATCTCTATGTAGACTTGAACATTATTTTAACCTAAAAAATGCAGCTTATTTGGGTCTTCTGGAAATTCCAATTGAACAAGAATTGATTTTTGCAGACTGCAGCTTTAGCAAAGAAAAATTCTGAAGCAACTCGTGCACTGGCAATCCAAGAGGACATTCTTGAAAAGGAGCTTGTTGAGATTCATAAAGTCTTGTTGGCAATGCAGGTAAGTCTGACATAATCGTACTTTCTTTTGAGGGTTTTTTAAGGGTTGTTTGGCTTGTTGTATTTACGGAACTTGCATTTTATTAATACCGAGTAAAGTAGATACAATGTATTCTACTTATCATGAGTTGTTTGGTTAGATGTAAAGTGCGTGTAATGGGAATTTTTTTTGGTTGAAAGTAAAGTTTGAAATCTAATGCTATAACAAAATGAAATGGTGGGATTGCCTCTTGTATGAAAGTAATTTATATGAAAACAAAAATGTTGAAAGTTTTACTACAATTAAATGGGCGAGATCACTTGGTCAATGGAGAGGAAAAATATTCAAGAATACAATAGGTTTTGCAGTAAAAATATATATTTTGAAAGTGATATTTGTGTTTATGCCTTGAGAGTATTGATGGAAATATATAGAGAGCAATAGAAGGATCTTGGATGTCTTTAATCGCTCTTAAAGAGTCATATGATCAAGTAATCTTGGAATTAATTTAATACGCACTAGAAATGAATTGTTGAGGAAAAGTGCTCATGTGAGAGCAATTATATAAATGAAAACAAAGGACACCAAAAAAATAGAGATAAGGATTTTCTTGGTTTGGCAACGTTTGTTAATTTTTTATGTGATATTTGTATTAAACAATTGTTAAATTATCGCCTACATGAATTTTTTGTGTATTTCAATTTTCATCTAAAGGAATATATAGTTGTTTATGTTAAGGGTTTGTGGGCTTTGAATTATAAAGTGTTTTAGTGATTTTATGCATCTTATTATACATTTGCATTTGGAAACCCTAGACCCAAAGATGCCATGCATCAGATTTGATATCAAAGCTTAAGATTGCATCATAATGTTAAATAGAAGTTGGGTATAATAATTGAGTCAATAAAAAATTTAATATAATATTACAATTTAAATGAAATTGAGTTCAACATAATTTTTATGAAATCTACAATTATGTTCTTAACATTGAGAGACATAATTTTGGGAAATTCTTAAAATTGCCAATAACTTGGAAGATTTATTTCAACAGATGCTATATGTATGATTCTAAAAAAAACTTATTTTTACTAAAACAAAAGTTGATACTTGATAGGGCATGCTTGACATTATTTGCGTATGTATTATTTTATATATTTTATAAAAGGCCTTAGATAATAAATTAATCATAAATTAAATTACAATTTCACATAACATAACCTTCACCTTTGTTAATATCTCTAAAGAAATAATATAATCGTTCATTAAAACATCTTCATCTTTGCTTAATGTCTCTAAAGAAAAGTCAATTGCATCACAAAAATCATGTATGATCGAATACCATCTCATAGAATAAATTATAGTTCATGGATTATGGATATTCTTTTGATCATGCATTAGACGCAAAAGAATATTATTATTATATATTAATGATATTGTTGAATTTGAACATTATTATGATCATGAATTTATATACTCCAGAAAAAGTTAAAATTTAAGTTTGAAATCAAAATTCCGCATGATATCATATTTAAACTTGAACTTTTGATAAAAAATTAATTTATTTAAGAATATAAAATTGCAGAAACCTCACGCACTATATTTAAATATTTAATGAATCAATTATGCAATTTGATAAGACAAATTCCGGTTCATCAAGTCTCTGAATCAAATTGATATTAACTTTATTTGTAGTCCTTGATTTTTTTTATTCACAAATTCATAAAAAGAATCATATGGTGAAAGCTAACTTACATCAATATCATAAAATATTTATTAATGGCAGTTGCCTTAAAGAAAACATGAAATTTAAAGTTTGATATTTCCAGCCAAATTTCCAAGTATATAATTCATCATCGCTAAAATTTAAGCCATTTGTGTTAATTTACTGAAAGAGGTTGTCTGTTTAGTCATATTGATGCAGGTTGTCTTAGTATTTAGGATCTTCAATGCAAATCTATGATCACATGTTCAAAGAAATTACAATTTAAAGTTTTCCTTCTCTTATTTTTGATCAAGATTAACATCTTTTGATGCAAATTAAAAAACACATTTCAATCACTCCTAATAATAATAATTTTTTTTTATTATATAAAATTTTCTTACAAAATTTTATATAGTGGGATAAAGGCTTGATGATGTTGTTGTTGTTGTTGTATAAAATTTTGTAAGAAAACTATTTATGTATAAAACTTTCACATTGATGTAGGATTCATCTCACAAAAAAGAAGATTAATATGTAACAAACTTGTGCAAATCTAAATCACAAACGCAAAACCATTCATAAAAATATTTAATAGAAAAGAACAAGTGAAAAGTACCGATCAGAAGATCCAAGTCTAATGTTAATGCAATGAGAAGCATCCTCACCAAATTGTCATCAAAACTTGCGACACATTCAGAAAAACTCACATCTGATGGTATGAGTTTTGTGAGTAAATATTGAAATTTTATAAAGCCAGTCAGTGATTTTTTGCATGCTTAGAGACTCCTTAGATACTCTTATTTATAATAAAAATAGTCCACAATTAGTAGTTTCACAAAATTTTCAGCATTTAATCTAAATAATTTTCAATCTTAAATTGCAAAAACTTCCTTTGGATCTTGCTATATCGAAATTACTGCATAGAATAAAATCTACTAAAACAAACCAGGCATGTGAAAAAAGATGATTACCAAATCAGTAAGCAACCTCAAAAGGCAGGCAATTTTTGACTTCTCTGCTATCATGCAGAACCATAAATAGAAGGAATTGAGGATACAAATCCCGGTTACATTGCGTGGTACTAGATTTGCAGAGAATGCTAGTTTAATTTACATCCTAGACGCTTAGAAAACATAATAGTTGTTGAATACTTTTTCAAAATAGGAGAATGAAGAGATACGGAATCTCGAAGCAGGCCAAATCAAATCTCGAGTTACAAACCAACCTCTCAAGCAGCCTTTGCGCAACTCTAGATTGCAATACATCAATGCCATATTGTGTTAGCAGCAATCCAAAATAAGGAACCAACTCACCGGAATAGAGGATGAAATACAACTGAACTAGAGAATTCAATGAGAATTGAATCAACTTGCCTGCAGTTCAATGATAAACTAGACCAACCAACAGAATAAACCATTAAATAGTCAACCCGTTCCATAGACACCATCTTCATAGGCATGCTTAACAGTGAAATGAACTAGCAAACAAAATATTTAGAATTAAAATAACTAAGCAATCTCAATGCACATAATTTGTATTTCCATTGAATAAATATTTCATATTTGCATCATTTTTCCTCGTATGAAAAAATTTGGCTCCAATGAATTAAGCATTTGATATTCACCAATCAAATTTAGTCATACTTGTTATGCTTTATGCAAAATAGCCCATTAATCATTATGACCATATTTATCACCCCAAAGCACAAAATATCCTTCATATCCACCTTTAGTAGCGAACACACCCTTTACATGTAAGCTTCTAGAACAATAGATATCAAACTATTTGGTAAAGTTTGGATGTGAATTCAGAAGGAAGAGATGAGAATACAGAATAATTCAAAGAATTGGTAACAGGTTCCTGAAATAAAATAAAATCAGATACATTGCAAATAGATTATTACTAGAATTTATTAAAATCTCTTGTTTATAAGCATTCCTAATTTATTGTATGATTTTATATGGTCAAAAGGTCCTCGGAGGAAGCATTTCAGTACTAAGTTGCATTTTTACCTTATCATGTGATTTGAATTTCACAGAAATTTTGTTCGCATCATCAATATGCTTGTAATTGCCATAAATAACAATTAGTTTCCTGCAAATTTACTTACGCAGGCTTATTTTTTTGATTCTATATTACAATAAATCAATGCTATAGTGAGTTAGCAGCAATACAAAAAGAGGAAACCACACCTCTAAAATAGATTATAAAAAACAACTAACGTAATTCAATAGGATTTGAATCAACTTGCCTGCAGTCAAAGAGCAAACTAGACCAACCAAAAGAATCAAGCATTAAATAGTACATACCGGTCTCATAAACATCCTCATCATAGGCATGCTTACAACAAAATGAATTAGAAAACTGAAGATTAAGAATTAAAATAACTAAAGCAATCTAAATCTACATAACTTGTGTTTCTATCTAAGACGTACTTTCATATTTGCATCATTTTTTCTAGTAGGAAAAAATTTGCTCAAATTAATTAACTATTTGATATTCATTAAGCACATTTAGGCATAACTGTTAGGCTTTATGTAAAATAAATCATGAATAATTATGATCATGTTTGTCACCCCAAAGCACAAGACATTCTTCATATCCATCTTTTGTAGTGGACATAAACTTTACATATAAGCTTCTGGAACAAGAGGTGTAGAACTATATGGTTAAGTTTTGGATGTGAATTCTAAAGGAAGAGATAGAAAGAGAGAATAATCTAAATAATTGGTAGCAGCTTCATAAAATAAAATAAAATCTTATAGATTTGAATACTAGACTAATATTAGAACCTGTTGAAATCTCCAATTTATAAGCATTCTCAATGCGTTGTATGATTTAATTTGGCCGAAAGTTTATTTTAAGAAATATTTCAGGATTTTGATGCATTGTTATCTTATTATGTGATTTGAATTCCACATATATTTTGTTTGGAATCAGCAATATTCTTGTACTTGCCATAAATAACATTTTGTTTCTTGCAAATTTTCTTACACAAATCATTTGAATCATATAAATGAATAATGTGGTATGAAACAAGTAATTTAACTACTAAAATGCCAACATGCATCCTAATGGATACTAATAATGATTTATTAACTAACTAGATGATAATATAATAGGACGAAAATTGAAAATATACAACTCACACAAATGTGATGCATCTATGGATATACATACTCTAAAAATAAATAAATAAAAATAATAATAATAAAATACTCTAAAAAAATAATCCAAATGACTTAACATATCAGCTGTGATAAATTATGTGACTATTAGATTAGTCATATTGATAGAATCTTAAAATTCAAGTTTTTTTTAATGCATTCCTCATTAACAAAATTTGTTGGAATATTTAGTCAATTTCACTTTAATTAATATCATGTTTATGAAGTAGTAAGTGATCAAGAACTAAAAATAAAATCAATTTTAGTTTGGTTTATAGAATTAACTTTATTAGGAATTTCATTTAGAGTTAAATAATGAGATTCTTCAGTTGGCCTATCAATTAAGTTAATAGGGTTGGTTTAGGTTCACAATCAATAATGGATGCAATTCTGTTAGAAGCTCATATTCATGTTCAAGAGTAAACTCAATTTTTATTAGAAGTTTTGATTCAGTTCTTATTCTAATTGCATTTTAGTTTTTGAAATGATCATAGATTCATTTTTAGTGTTAGATTCAGTTTCTAATGGAGGATCAAAATTTATCTTATACCAAACTCAATTTCAAAAATTGAATATTGTCTTATATTGAGTTTATTTTCAGGAATAAATGTAGTTTCTCTTATATGTTCAAATTTTGATATGATTTCTTGCTCAACTTTGATTTCTGATTCTTATTCAGCCTTATGAATATGCTATAATATAGGTGTAGATTCATATTAAAGAAGATTATATTCATATTGGGGTACTATGTAGCTCTTATTTATTTCTTAAGGACAATGAAGTTTTGTTATTGAAATAATCTTGTCTTCTAATGAGTTTGCATATTTATTCCTGACTAGCTCTATGTTTTCCTTGTATGTAAATCATTATTTCCAAGCAAATTTCTTTTTACACAAAAGTTGTGCCAGTAAGGCGTCGAACTACCCCTAATAGGTGCATTCCTAGAGAAAGATGTGTCCCTCTCTATATATATAAAGTGTCCCTCTATATATTTTGAAGATTTATTAGTTGGCAATAAGAATGGTTTGAAACGTATGAACCAATAGCATATGTTAACAGTATGTACTACAACCGGACACATCTAATATTGCCAGTTCAAGATAGCAGCAACCACAGACTTTACTGGGTTTGACCATGCTAACTTAATGGTAGTTAAATCAGATTAGATGTTTTGTCTTTGATTAGATTAACTTTGGTTGATTGGTGATTCAAATTTCCTTAACTTTGGTTGCTTGGTGATCCTAGTTTCTTTCAAGGAATAATGGCATGCAGATAGTGAACTGTGAAATGCATCTCCATTTAAGAAGTCGTATTGTTCTTTTGCTGTAGCGTTCTTCATCATTGTCCTAATTTAGAAAGGATGTAACTAATATGTGATTTGATTTCCTGAGGGTGCATAAATGTACATTTTTTGAATATGAACATTTTCACAATGGGAAGTGGGGTGGCACTTGTTTCAGAGAATAGGTGAATCTTCTGTTACTAAGTATTAAACATTTGATTAAAGTTTCGTTTGGGACGGCTTTCTTACTGCTTCTTAAAGAAAATTTTTAGTTCAAAATTTTTAATTTTTTATAAAAAAGTTGCTTTAAAAAGTAGTAAGAAAGTCGTCCTAAACGAAACCTAAATCTGACAAAGTAACCTGCCTTCAAAGATCAAGTGCTGATACAGTCATGAAATAATAAATAGAGGAAAGGCATATACATGCTTTTTTGACAAGGTAAATGATTCCTGCAAAAGACAGTTGCTATCAATAATACAATTTAGCATATATAGTGAATACTTATACTTCAAATTTAGCATGTGGGGAAGAATCACTGCAGGCAATTTGTTTGACCAAAGCAGAGAGAATATGTGCCTTACAGCTTTGAAATTGCGCCAAGGAGCCTGACTACTGTGCTTATTTCAATTTGTATCTTCCTCCTGATAACAATTGTTGAACAAATTTAACACTTGCAGCAGTAATTAAACTGCGTTAATCATGGAAGAAATCTGTATTCATTCGGTTGATTCCAATCGTTTTTTCTTGATTTTTTTTTCTTTTTGAAAGTTTCCCTTTTTCTTGATTAGTTGTTTACTTTTGTTCTGAATGTCTTCAGCCTCATTTATGCATTTGGTTGATGATATGGCTTGGTTTGCGGCCCTCAAAAAGTCCAAACGATGCATTCTTTCTCTGAATTCTATGGCTTTTGTCTGCAATTGAGTTTTTGAGGATTTACTTTGATCTTTTCCTTATGATATCGGTATTTATAAAACTATTGCAGATCATTGGATTTAAGTGCTTCATATAAGAAAATTAAATTTCAATTGGAAAGGCAGAGCATACTTTTAATGATTTCATTTTCTTTTGTTGATGCAGGAACAGCAACAAAAGCAGCTTGAGTTAATTCTTGCAATTGGAAAGGCAGCACAGCTGTTAGAAAGCAAGAAGGTTTCTGGAAAAGAACAACTTCCATCTGGTTCTGGTGTTCCAATTCTGGGGAAGAAAGAAAACCAAGAACTTGAAGCCCAAAGTGTAGATAATAACCGGATCTGAGACATTTTTGTCTTCTTCATTGAAAATTTGTGGGAGCAAAACTGCAGTGAGGTTAGCTGAATAGCGATTGAGAGAAGAGTTTTACCACCTTTATGCAGGAAAAGAGTGCTAGCACCTCATCCATTGCAACTTGATGATTTTTGAGGATTCAATTTAGTTTCATTTTATTCTACTTATTTGAGAGAGAATTTTTACCTAAAACTTGAACTGAATAAATGGAATTTTGTATGGGAAGTTGACTGCTCATTATTCTTTTCCTTTTTCTTGTATATTTGATGCAAGTAAATTTCAATTGTAAGATTTTGAGAGTAATTTTTGATACATTAGGGAAAATCATCTTGATTGGGTACAAATATAGAGACCTTTGAATTGGAAACTTCCATAATTAAAGTGAGGAACATTTGTACTCCGATTTTTGTAAACTTATAGTTGAATTGAACGTTTTGATGAGATAAATCTAACGGCATAACAAATAGTCCAATCTGAGCTCGAATTAGTTCCAATCAAGGGCTTGAAGCATGATTAGACACTTTAGAACATTAATTGGATGACCAAATGATTTTCAAAATTGGTATGCTTATAATTGAATCGAACGATTCAATGAGAAGAATTCATCAAGCTTAAAATTGCTTAATTTTGATATCATTAAGACACGTAAATGCTGAATAAATATTTTATAATTAAGGAATTAATATCGGCTATTTGATAGAGTTGAGATTTTCTTCATATCTATAGGCTTATCATTTTAAAAAAATTATAAATAGACTCTACTCTCTACATCGGGGGGCCAGGGTTGCAAATGAACCGAATAGAGTTGAGTATGTTAGTGTTCATGTTTGAGTTCATTTATTATTACCATGTTCAAGTTCGGTTCGTGTTTGATTCGAGCTTTATTGTTTTTGTTCATGTTTGGTTCGTTTAAATTATTGGTGTTAATGTTTGGTTCATGTTCGGTTCGTTTAGTGCTTATCAAGCTTTGAACAAATAAGCCTTAACAAGCTATGTTCGTGAATATATTTAACGAATTTTTTTACACAATCAAACAAGTACGTTTATGAACAAATCTAATGAGTATTCTTGAGCTATCAAATGAGCATGACCATGAATATATACATAACTAGTATTTTCGAGCTACCAAATGAGCTCGTTCACGAACAAACGATTTATGATTCATCTTATATTTGTTCATTAATATCTTACACAAACAATCTAGCAAACATTGACAAATTTGAAATGTCTCTTATTCATGAACAAATTCATTATATTGAAGGTATAAAATAAAATGAAATTAAATTTATAATAAAAGTAGTTATCTATTTAAAATGAAAATATGATTAATCTATATGAATATATTTATCGAGCTTATTTAGTATGAGGCTTTAACTATCTCAGAGCACCACGAACCAATCATCGTCGGCGGCTTCCGTCACCCACTAATTACAATCCTTCAAACCATCGTCGCCCGCTAACTACAATCCTTTGAGCATAATTGCTCACCTATCGTCCTTCGACTACCATCACCCGACTACTATTTTTTTGACCATCATCACTTGCCAACTACGGCCCACGTTTCACCATTGCCAAATTATGATTGGATGATCGTTAGACCAGCATCACCTGACTTTGGTTTTTCGACCACTATCTCTCGACTGTGATCATCATTCCATTGTTGCCCGACTAATGCCCTTTCGACTTTTTACCCCGCCGAATTGTAATATTCATCATTAGGAATCAAGGTAATTTTTATTAATGGTTGTTAATTTTAATTTAATTATAAATTATAAGTATTAGAGTGTATAAAGGGAGCATTGAATAAGTCAATAATTGGATTGGAGAAGTGAAATTTTAAGTCATCAAAATTACATTATGAGTGACGTAGCACTGGGTTCGGCAATGCCTCTACATTGAGCCTCTTGTGGAGAAGAAAAAATGAGCATGCACTGCAGTGCTAGGCGACACCGCCTCGACGCCAAGGCTCAAATAAAAATATTATGAGAGATTTAAGAAGATTCTTTGGTGGTGCTAGGGAGTTAAGTTCTGCGGCGCCATATCAAATTAGTGATTTTTAAATATTAAAATATCTTAATCCATTTATGGAAACCTTTAACCTAGCCATCATGCCGGAGAAGAAAGGAAGAGAGGAGTAAGAGAAGAGAGGAGAGAGCAATGAACGAGAGGATTCAGAGGCTAAAGCTTGGAATTCAGCTGTCGGGCTTATTCAAGATATTATAGGGCACGAGGTAGACTTTTGAGTTCTAAACTCTTATCTCTGATTTTGATTCCACTAGTTTTATAAAAGTTTCAGATAAAAAATGTGTTTTATCAAATTTTACGAAGTTTTCATCATGTAATTTTTAATATGTTGTTGTACATTTTTTTCTGAACATTTTGACTATAAGAAATCAAATTTTCACCGATTTGTTTTTCCTACAAAATTTTTTAAGTATTTATAGGCTTGTCATTAAAAAAAATCTATAAATAATTAAAAAGCAAATGCCACATTTCAAGCCCCAAGATAAAAAAAGTTGTCGTTCAAGCGTGCAGTTCATCTTCCACACATTTCTTCTTCTCCTGCTTTAAGTTAAAAAAAAGGCTCCAGTTCCTCTTTTGGCAGCTTTTCTTCTTTTCCTGTTCTTCTTGCACTCGCGAGTCTGTCTCTATCCCGATGAGTTGAGCTTCAACACATCTTTTGAGCTCGAGCTCATGATTTTGTTGGCGAGCCCAACTTGAGTACACCCATATATATGATTGTTGCAAAAAAATGTGTCATTTATATGTAAGTAAGAAACGCTAGTTATAATACTATATTTAATATGGTTGACTCTTAACATATAATTCCTTGTATAAGAGGATGAGCTGATGAGTTTTCTTTAAAATAAAAGATTTATAGTGTAATCTTGAATTTTAGCCTGTAACTGATTGACTGAATTACTCTGACTGATAAAGAGAAATGTCTCTTAATGATTTATTGAAAGTCATATATAAATTAACTTAAAATAACAAAAAATCATGGCAAGATAAAGATTGATGACAATTTCATATTAAAGCTGGATGTCCAGCCTTGCTATTCATAATCACATTCATGATTGTATTTACATGATAACATATAAATTTATTGATGAGATTGATAAATAGAACTAAAGTAGAACTGATAGAACGTGCATGAATATTAATACAACATGACATAACATCTGATAGGGCATTGATATATATTAATAGGCATGTTAATGCAGTACACTGATAAATACACTAACATAACTTCTTGTTTTCATATCTACAATGCTCATAAAAATAGAAAAAAAAATTATAATTAGATCACAACAATATCTATATTATGACAAAGGGTGTTTGCAAGTTAGACTTATAATGACTCTTAAAATATTATTTAACTGTTGTAGATCAAAATGTATATTTTAAAACTTAAGAGGTTATTAAAAGTCCTTTCAATCTACGTCACATATGACTACGTTCATTTTGCCATCATCGTCTGACTATAGCCCTTAGAGACAACTTTTGCTTGAGTACAATCCTCCAAAAACAATCGCTTGACTAAGATTAGTCAAAATACAGTCATCCAACTATGATATTTCGACATCCGTCACCCACCGACTATAGTCCCCTGACCATCATTAGCCAACTACAATCCTCTAACCACAATTACTCGATTATAGCCCTCCGACCACTGTTGCCTACCATCATGTCTAACTATGGTCCACCAATCTATAATCTTTTGATCATTATCTCACGGGCCTCTAACTTCATCACTTATTATCACTATTAATACAAACACACATAGTCGATTAAAAGATCAATGCATGCCATTGATATCAACTCTAACTCCAATTGATATCAACTCTAACTCCCAACTTCAATGCTTTGATTTATGTCAAATTCTTGCCAAATGACTCTTCAACCATCAACCAATTCTTCAATGCTTTGAAAGGACATTACTTGTAATCAAATACAAATAATAATGAAAATTTTCAAAAATTGTTGTCGTTGATTTTAAAAAATTGCTCAAAATTAATTATAGATGTTATGTGGACCTCTTAAAGTGTCAAAATTGAGTTTATAATGAGAGGAAAAATAGTTTCACGGATCCCAAAAACATCAAAAAAGACTTGCCCGTGTTCAAAATCGGGCTATTGAAGTGGGACAAGCAGGCTGTAACCAACGGAAACAATGATGAGTGTCCAAGGTTGTGCGCAGATGATGCCGTGGGGCACGCCTATGAATATGGTTGGAGCACATCTAAATATATCCAAATTTAAGATCAATCATCAAAGCGTTTGTATTGATTCCTCCCACCATTGCCTTTTCTTTTATCATTTAAGTGCATTAATCATGTCAAAATTATGCTATTTTGGGCTTGAGGATTGATCTTATTAAGACATCGATATGAATATAAACATGTGAGATCTAGAGATCCTTTGATCATCTCATTAATATCCCTAAATTTTTAATTACGCTTTATGTGCTTGATCTAGCTCATTCAGACGTGGACTAAATCACTTTTGGTGCTGTTAAGCAAATATAGTTAAGACATTTATTTTGATTGTTACTTTATGAAAATCGAAGTTTAGATGGCTCTAAATTTGAATTCAGAACTTTTCAATTCAATTGTGAATTGATAATCGTCGATCAAGTTGTTTTTCAAAGATATATCAAGAATATATGCATTTTTTTTTTTTTACTTTTGTAGAGAGAAAGAAGATTATTCTTAGATGCTATTTTAAAAAAAATATCATACAAGTTTTATAATTAAATTTAAAAATATATATTCTTATTCAAATAAAAAAAAATGATGCTTTTTAATTAATATAAAAATAACTTTTTATTAATTATTTGAAAAATAAGATTTTTAAATAAATAAAGATTTTTTTTTCCATTTTGTTTGTAATGTAAAACTCCAAATTAAAAGATATTTTCTATGATGCTTGCGGGGAAGACATCAACAGGTCAACAACATTTGAAAGAGAAGAGTTCTTGTAATTGGGCGAATTATTACGTTAAGTCACTGGAATTCCGGACAATCAATCCGGACGCGCCACGTTACCCAAATACATTAGGACTCAATGTATTTTGGTGACGTTACGCGCCTGGATTGGTGTCCGGACGAATCCCGACACCAGATGTAATAATTTGCCTTACAATTGAGCTTTTTGGGCAAGCCATCAATGAGATGACTGACGTGTTATGAAAAACAAGGTTCACAACTAAGCTCTTTGAAGAAGACATTAAAGAAGCCAACTGAGCTCCTTAGATATATATATATTTTTTTCATAAAAACAAATAATTAAAACATGTAATTAATTAATTATATTCTAACTCAAACGTGTAAATTACTAAATTCTAAGTGAAAAAATTGCAGGCTATATAAGCTATGCCACGGTAAATCGTTTACTGGTTACGCAGGTTTGGTCAAGAGCGTTCTGATCCTTCAAAGCAAAAGTCATCGGTAAGAGTTCGCGTCAAAAGAGAATGGAGGAACTTCGCAGACTACAGAGGGTGCAGAGTATGCTTTCCGTCATCGAAGCTGAAGGGCTTTCCACCAATGATCGAGATTCGGACCGCTTCATCGCAAATTTCGTTCTATTCATGGTAGTGCTTGCCCTAGCACCCGACCTACCATTTTGATTTTTTTTTTTTGTTTGCTTCTTGCTTCTTCATCCGAGCCGGCTTTCAATCATTTATTTTGAAAGTGTTACCTGCTTGAAACAATAATGGTCTAGCAAATTTCGTTTGTCTTTTAGTTTTCTAACACTTTGAAATGAAATGGATACGCAATTTGAATTTATTTGTCTGAATCCAAACATGAAGCATAACCCCTAGTTCTTATCTTGCAAATGAATGAAAAAAATGCGTTTATTGCAGCCCAAATGAAGCTTATCCTTTTTGATCACATCTGTTTTGAAGAAGGGAACGTTTTTGGCTGAAATTGAAATAGTTATGGCTTGTTTTACTTGTTCTGACATTATCCTGTTATATCTCAATCTATTTAGAACTTCCTCTCCGTGCAGTTGCCAACTATCTTATATCTTTCCCATGTGAAAGTTGGTGTTAGATAGGAACCTGGAGGGTTTTTTCAGTATAAAAAACTGCTTTGAAGGGGTTGAAACATCTCATCGGCAGGCACGCCATTTTTTTAAACAGTTGACTCAAAAACCCTAAGGGGTTATTATTTATAGCCTCATATGGGTCATTTCTTGGTGAAAAAGGAAGACCAGGTAAAACCACCTAAAATTAAATTGGGGATGGAAGTAAACACGGCAATGAAAACAAAGAAGAAAGTAAAAAACAACATAAAGCAAAGGACACCATGATTTAACGTGGAAAAACTTGAAATCGGGAAAAAACCATAGAGCTACACCACATCAAGAAATCCACTATGAAAATTGGGAGAAATAAGCACATATCTCTCTTCTCTCTCTCTCTACTTTCTTGTCTTCTCTCTTACACCGTTCTCGTCTTCAAAATACAATAGAAAGTCTTATTAATAACACCAAGGGACGCAACCCCCTTCAGAAAAATGAGAAAAAAAAAAAAACAGTTCAGTTTACCATGCAGCGCTATGACGACAGTTTGTAGCACTGCGACACTCAAGCCTCTGTCACCACGATGTTGCAATGCTAAGGCGTTGTGGTGTCACACAGCGCTGCAGTGCCGAATGTAGAGCTCTTTGGCACTCTGCTCTCTCTTTTGTAGCGCCGATGCGCTTAGGCATGCAACGTCGTGGTGCTCGTGTACACCCAAACCCAAACAGAGGTAAACCCCCGCACCTCCCCAGTAATCACGATAATTTGAACTAAGGTTCGAGGCAACAAAACAACTCGATTGATCAGCATAATCAGATTTCATACATAACTAACAAATTATGTTTTACTACCTTAAGTAAAAGAAGGGCCTTAACAAAATATTTCTCAATAAAATGTGTTTGAGTAAATCACACAATATTAGTCAGGGGACATTTCTGCAACTACCATTTATGCATGTAGCAGTGCATTATCTTGAGCACTTTATAAGATTAGGAAATTCAAATTATGATTTTGCCATTTCACGTTATGATGTAAGCAATTTCCTTCATCGGTGCATGCTTGTGAAGCAGGTCTTGGTGGGACAATGCAAGTGATATGTGTAGTTCAAATCATCTCAAGCATTCTATAATGTTGATTTTATTGTATATTGTCAAGATTTAATTTTGCCTCCACTAGATACTGTCAACAACCTTTGTTGATGCAACTTGTCGTTCAAGTGGCTGTCGAGTCATAAGCCTTTAATGACGGTGGTTAACAGTTGGTTTCATATTCAAAGTAAGATTCACGAGTCGCCCAAAGTGATTTTCCTTTCAAGATGTCTAGGTTTTCCTGAAATTTGCTAGGCCCTTTTACATGTTCCAGTCTTCAGTGGCTAGGAAGGAAGAATGAGTCAATTTCCTTGTATTTTTCTTATTTAGTTTCTGATCGAAACCTCTTTTTTTTTTTCTTCTTTATTTTTTCTTAGATATTTTTATCTATGAATTTGAATGATGAAGCAGATGATTTATGAGCAAAAATCCAAGGAGCTAGTAGATGTGGAGATAATAGTGGCACAGGACCTATGCCCTAGTATGCTAGTTTATAAGAACCTTGATGACTCACAACAACTTTGCGGGACTTGGTCCCTTGCATTGTTTTCTTCAATAGGTTCACACCTTCAACTCTTCATCAAGTGAAGAGGATAGTTCCTTTGAGCTATGGGATTTATGTTGTGTACAATTTGGCAATTAGATTATTTTATTACTTAAATCTAAAAGGTCTAGGTGGTTTAGAATTTATAGGTCAAGGTTGACTTGCCTAAAAAATGGGAGACTAAATAAAGCTTCCACTCAAAATTATGTTAACCTTATACAAGAATGAAAGACATATGAGGAAAGAAAATCAGGTTGAATAAAGATTCATTAATAAATCCCATAATTACTTAATATCCTACATAATCTTCGAGTTGTATTAATATCTTAGAAAATGATGGATGATTATTACATCATGCAGTTGGCAGCTGTGCTCTCCTAGTCGCTATTTTTTACTTTGAGTGTTATGGTTTGAATTTCATGAGAAGACATATTTTTACCAATAAGGTCATGATGAAGACAAGATGATGGGGACATCGACAAGAGGTACCGACGTGTTTATCAGAGGCGACACTGGAGATCGATGGCCATGATGGAGAGTCTTTACTTTTGATGCATTTTATGTATTATTATTATTTTTTATATTTTCAGTTTTTCCATTTTTACCCCTATGAGTAGTTAGTTGTTATTGTAGCCCAAGGGGGACATTCTAGTCTACTTTTGCTTTGTCATTTCGTGGCCTATATATGGCCACTCCTTATGTGTTATGGATGTTTTGATGAATGAAAATTTTGAATTCTATCTCCTCCAATGTTGAGTGCTTGAGAGAAGAAGAAGGCCTAGGTGAGGTGATTGCAATACCCGTCAGCCTTTGAAAGAGTCTGAGGCTCCACCCTTGCTCCCACTTCCTTTTCCCTCGAACCCCTTCTTTTTCTCCCATACCGCCGGCCACCTGCTCTCACCGCCATTCCCCCACCTTTTTTTCCCCCAATCCCTTCTCTACCCGACCACCATCCCACCCGCCGCCCACCCTAGTCTCTCCCACCGCCCCTCTTGGCCTTCACCCTAGCTCCACCACCTCACCTCCCCCTCATCACCATACCGTCGGCCACACACCACCTCCCCATACTCCCCATTAATTGAATTGATTACTTTCCTAATTTAGGAAGCAAAATTTGGAGGGATTTTAAAATTCAAATTCAAATTGATTTGGATTGAATTCTTTCCTAAATTTTCTACCCTAATTAGGCAACCCCTAAATCCTCTCAAATCTGAAATTAATTTCAGATTTCCCATTTAATCTATTTAATTACTTGGGCCCACAATCCAAGTAATTAATTTTCCCCAAATCACCAACTATAGGGCTGGCCACCCTTTCTCTCTCCAATCCCATTAATTGGAATCCAATAAAGGATCCAATTAATTAAATCACTTTCTCAATTCCCTCTCAACCTCCATTTATTTCAAATTTCAAAATTCGAAATTCTCCTAGCCTAATCTAATTAAAAATCTGAACATAACTTCAGATTTTGAAATTAAACTTCTCACAACTCCTCACCCTAGCCGCCCTTCTCCCCCTCCAACCCTAGCCTACCGCTGGCCCACCCTCCTCCCCTTCTCGTTTCAACAAGCCGCCGGCCCAAAGGGTTCAAGAGAGGAGTCCTCCGCATCCATAGATGGCCGCTCCCGAAATCGACCACGGTTTCGTTTATGATAATCAAGGAAGAACGGATCTCCTTGGATCACCATTCTTTGATGTGAATTTGGACTTTGACGAGACCGTCGATGGATATATCAATCACATCATCTTCACTCTCGTGCCTTCCATTGAAGAACACATTCCAGCCGGATTGTGGATACTCACTGGGAAGTCCGCTCCTCCACCACCGACGACCTTTTCTTGGATCGAGGCCATTGGCGTTGCGACCTTCCTAGTGGCATTGTTGGGTTTGCTGAAAACCTTCCTCTGCTAAGCCCTACTTTGAGTGTGAGTGAGAATGGTAACTCATGGTGAACTCTCTAAATATTCAGCTTAGGATTTTGGCATACTTGTTGTTAATGTGATAATTTCAGAATTATCTTAACTTGTTCTAAACTTCTAATCTTGTAACTGCTTACTACAATAAAATTAACGATTGAAAGTTCTTTAATCTTATTTTATGAAACATTACTCTTAAAGTAGCAAGCGTCGCAATCCTTTTAATATTTCCTTGCAATTCCTGCTAGTTTCACATCACAAGATGAATAACACATTCATCATGGCATAAAGCTGCACCATCTAAGATCACTACTTCTAAAAAATATTTCAATTTAGGTGCGAGAAATCAAATTCTTTGTTGGGTCTGATTTGTAATCTATCAGAAAACTTTGAGGCAGACGATCAAAGTGGAAGCAAAACTGAGGAGATTAGCTGGAAAAAGGAAATAAAGAGAGATCATAAGTAGAACAAGATCGCAAATCCAAAACTGTTGTCAAAAAGCATATGATATCACTGAAGTTTTTAACTTCAATTTTTAATTAATACCAAGTAGGTTTCAGGAAGCCATAGAGGTCTTTATAATATAGAAAGTGTAGGTAAACATAAAAAGATAAAAATACTGAAACACCTCTAAAAGAGCCGTTGATTTATCTTCATGCATGACTGATATCACTATAATAATGAAAAGTCTTGCTCGTGCTGCACTATTGTTGTGGTTGTCATATTAGCATTGCACTATAGCCTAATTGTGGTGCCGTTCTGTTTTTCCGACACTAAATTGTTTTCTTCTTGTTGTCTTCTTCTGCGAAAAAAAGACCAAGGGAAGCAGATAAGTATCCTCTCCAAAAATGTTGCGTCCTCATTCTGTCCTATGATTTTTGCTTCGCTGATATGATATTCGGAGATCCTTAGATTGAAAATTTTGTAGATTTAGGCTTTCTACTAGAGCCAATTTTCCTGTCCTTGAATTGGCTTTATTTAGTAATTCTTTGCGTTTTAAAATGCTGTAGTATTGTAGTTTTTATTTATGCAAAAAATATGCAGTAGAACGCCCTGTATAGCGTTCATCCACCTCATTGGTGGCTTCACGACTATTGGTAACACTATGGAAGAGTAGCTGGTTCATTTTTGTTACTAGTTTATTTTGCACAATAAACACTTGCAACAACTGAATAAAGCTTTCAGAAGAAAATGCCTATTTTGAAGTTTTCCTTCACATTATGCTCAATCTTTTCTTTTTACATAATTTTTTATTTACCTTTCGAAATTAATAAGTTGTTGATTCCTCAAGGGACAACAATGCGGGGCACTTGACATGCAGAAGAGGCATGATCTCATTTATGAACATCTGAATAAGGTGAACTTGACTATTTATTGCCCTTTACAAAAAAAAGAAAGATATTCATGTTAAAGGGATTTTTTTATTGGTTAAACAATATTTTGTCTATTCATGCAAAAAATAACAAAGCATTATTTTGATTGTTAATTTATAACAGGTTTCAGCATCAACTCTTGATGTGCTACTACAATCAGTGTTTAAAGAAGGTACGATGATGGAACAATCTTCATATTAGCAGATGACGGGCTTGTCAGGCTTACTTTAACATAAATTCTTCTTTTGCTGATGTTGCGAGTCTTGCGACTGTTTCTTCTCTTAATGAAGGCCTTTTTGAATATAATTATGCTTTGATTAGTGGTTGCGTCTAAACCTAAACTTTGTTTCAATTTTAATTTATATTTTGTTGTGATGGCTTCCGTACTTGTGAAAAAATGACCATGTTAAATATTTTTTTCTCTCGATGTTGATGCGGTCTAGGAAATAGTACTAAATGATATGGCTTGTGTTGAAGTTAGAATTCCCAATGCTATGCAACTAAATTATGCATTGAATGAAATCCAAGCAATTAAGATTTAATATTCCTAGATTGAAGACCACCCATTAAAACAATCACTAACTTTCTATGGATACAATCCCCAAAAAAATTATTCTAGATAATAATTTAATGATTGTCAAGGTAGAAATTTAGTGGGAAAATTGAAACCATAAAATACACATTTCAATCAAGAATTGTCCACAATAGAAAACACCTTGTTGTTTTGACTAAAATTAATCACATTTTCTTGTTGACCTTCACTTGTCTCACAAATCAATTCGATAAAGACGGTGAACAATGGACCCATTATCATGTGAGTCTTATTCAAAATGCATATATTAAAGCAAACATCACTTAATTGTTTCTTATTTCGCAAAACATATTACACCAATGGTTTGGAGCACCAAAATTGCCAAAGAGGCACCCCCCATGATTAATTCAATGAACCTCATACAAAAAGTCAAACAATAGACACATCGTCATGCAACTTGAGTTTGAAATGCCTTGCCTGCAATCAAAAGGAGGAAGGGAGCTTGCTCGAGAAGGCTTTGGTGGAACTTGCAACATGTAGAGTGAAAATTTTCCTAGGAGCTTATGCTCATTAGTATAATCCACAACGAGACCATTAATGTGCGGAGGAGGAAAGAGAGCTTGCAGAAGAGGGGTCAACTGGACCAACGAAAAAATAAAAGAGGAAGGGAGCTTGTTAGAGGTTCATATTTAAGCTAAGTCTTGCTCGGATCCTGCTGTCGAGCAGCCACCACCACTTCTTTTGCTGGTAAACTTGTTGGAGCTCTTCTCTTTCCCTCACCTCTTCTCCATTTCTCTCTCTTCTTCTCTCTTTCTTCTCTCTTTCACTCCCTATTTTTCTCATTCTCTCTAATTCGCTCACACTCTTTCTCTATCTCACTCTCTCATTCTCTCACACACTCTCTCTTCATCTATTTCTCTCTACCTCCCTGCCTTCTGCTTTCTCTCTCTAAAGAGAGTAAAAATAAAAGAAGATAAGAGATGAAGAGAAGAAAAAAGAGTGTATATTTGCCTCATTGATTCGTCGCACGATTGTCTCGTTGACATTATTTTGTCATGAGATATAGTGTAAAGCAAACTCGCACTTTTGTACTATAAGTACTCATACTCATCTCTCTTGTCACGGTAGGAAATCCCATATTGCATTGTATATTTTCGTGCAGATGGCCCATACACGTCTTTTTCGGCGTGGTAGGGAGAAGACATGCACACTCCTCTCTTGGTACGATGGAGAGGGAAATTAGTAGTCACAAATGTAAGTACCTATTCATGTCTTTTTTGGCTTGGGGGAAATCGTGTTTACAAAAACTTTCATAGAGGTATGAAGACCCATACATATTCTTTTTGGCATGATAAGGGTAAAAGAAAAGATTGTGATGTTCATACCACATATACATGTCTTTTTTGGCATGGTGGGCAAGCCCAACATTCCCCATTGTGCCTCTTATGTGGAGGTGATGTTTGAATGATGTCAAAATTTCCCGTGACAAGAATCAAAACTAACTAAAATGATTTTTTTGGACCTTAAAATATGACTAAATAATTAATTACAAATTGCATTAAATGAACACCCAAAAATGAGTGGCGGAAGAATTGAAAAGAACCAATATAGAATACAAAATGAGGACTTGAATTGGACTTATGAAAGGACTTGTGATGATTTTGAAAGCTCGTCAATCAACAAGAGAAATTATAATGAACTTGAGAGCTCGCTTGAGAGTATGGAATCTCCCCATTATTTTTAAGAGCTCTCCCTAAACACTTTAAAGAGCACACTTGATGAATTGAAAACTAAGGCTGGTTTCTATTTTAAATAGAAACGATTCCTCGTTGGACATTTTGCGATAAAATCCAAGCACATACGGGCAAAACATGTGACAAGATTCTAGTTTGCCACATATGAAGAGTCGGGGAATCATTTTAGGATTTAACCTAAATTGATGATGACCATTTGATTAATGCTATATCTGCCATTCGAATGGTATATATATATCTACATGCACTTGAGTTATGCCCTTGTTCTTTAGTGGCCTGTTATTCTCCTTTAAAAGATCTTATTCAATTAGTTATCAAAATCCATTTGTCCAACGGAAGATGACGTTTACGTAGAATTATTGAAAAGATGAAATAAAGTGTGCCAAATAGGAGCGGTGCACTTTCTCTGTTTTTGGGAGTTACGTCTTATGCCTTAATTAATTGCTTCTCAAATGCAATGAAATTGCTCTATTTTTACGAATTTATTCGAGTCTTTGGTTACTGAAGTTTGCTCATTATTTTTTATTTTCAATATGTAGCTATTTTTTTCGAAAATTCAGAAGATATTATATGAGCGTCTATCTTTAATGTTTTGCATGAATTGATTCTTACTTCTACCCTTGATCGCTTGAAGGATTAGAAGATCAAAATGGAGGCAGTTGCAAGATTTATCCAGAATATTTTTCCCATCATGATCCTGAAAGCATATCCTATGTTCAGTTATTAAAAACTCAATTTGAAGATGAGGCTGTTATCAAAATCAGTGCAATGCAACAAGCCAATTCCACCCTTGAAGATTTTGTAAGCATATAAACACACATAGACACCTTTATAGAGACAATTTATTTATGTATTTATGTCCTCCTAGATAAGAGAAGAGATTTAAGGATTTGATCAGGATACATTAGAAGCAAAAGCTAATATATCATGGCTAAAGATAAAAACATCAAGAAAAAATTAAATGCTATTTTGAGAAATTATTGAATGAGTTTTAGGGAAGAAAATATTTTGAAAGATCGTAAGGAGCAAAATAATTTGGCATATTTTATACATCACAAAAAAATTTACCTATAAATCTTGATGCAATTTTTATATTTGAAAGTGCCTAAATAAATAAACTAGATACTTATGGAGTTGACTATGGGATCGTCCAATTACAACAACAACAAGCCTTTATCCCACTATGTGGGGTGTTGGCTACATGAATCCTTTTTCTCCATTGTGTCCTATTAAGAGTCAAATTTTCATTTAAATTTAAAAAAAGAAAGGCCATTTCTAATGTTTTCTAACTAAGTCTTTTTAGGTCTACCTCTACCTTTCTTAACATAAGTCAAATTTAATACATCTATTTTTCTAACTGAGTCATCGGAAGGCCGTCGTTTTATGTGACCAAACCATTTAAGGCAAATCTGATGAGGACATCGTCAGCATTTTTTGACACACGTACCTTTCTGAGACGCCGGAGATCGACGACCACGAGCATGAGTTGTATTTTGTCATTTTATATAGTAGTTTATTTTATTTTGATGTTTTTCCGCTTTTGCCCTTATGGGCATTGAGTCGCTTATGTAGCCCGGAAGGGCATTTGTGTCATTTCTTGTTATTTCATTTTTGCCTATTTATATGAGGCTTCATGCATTGTAATTTCAGTTTGGATGAAATGAAAATTTTACTTTGAGTTCTCTTTGTGAGTTCCTCCTCCCCGATCTCTTAGTGAGTTCGTCGGAGGAAATAGATCTCTTTGTGAGTTTTAAATTCTCGTCCCCTCATTCGTGGTGGAAATTCGGATTGAAAGCAATTGAGGTTAGTGGATCCGTGGCTACTCAAGTCCCTAGAAACTCCCAATTCTTTTCCTTTTGCTCTTGACGCCGCCTACTCCAAGCAGGCCAAAGCCGCCGGCCCCTGGCTACAGCCTTCCGCCGGCCAGCCGCTCAGCCACCCGTTGGCCAGCCTCCCGCAGGCCAACAGCCAGCCCCCGCCGGCCTGTCTTCTGCCGGCCAGCCCCACAGCTCCATCCCGCCGCCTCCCCCTCTTGAATTCTCAGCATTTGAATTTCAAATCCCTTGAGTAATCACTTTCCTAATTGGTGCTCATTCATTAATCCAGCCCATTAATGAGATTAAAGACAAATTTGAAATTCAAATTTGGCTTCCCTCTCATTTTAAAGTTTGGGAAGTTAAGACATAATTAAATCTGAAATTAAAATTCAGATTTAATTCAATTATCTACTTAAACTTGGGCCCCACCTCATCAAAACCGAAACCCCCCTCTCTCCTCTAGCTTGGCCGGCCACTCCTCTCTCTCTCTCCTAATCACCCTAGTAGCTCCACAAAATCAGCCCAACTCCCTCCTCTCTTTGCCGCCCCCTCCCCTCGGATTAATTTGAATTTCAAATTAAATCCCACCATTAAACCTCCAAAATCTGAATTTAATCCAGAATTCCTGCACCCCCTCCTTTCCTCCCACCCGAATTCCTCCTTCTTCCTCTTTTCCCTTTGGGTGTTTCATGCCCTTCCGGCCAGGATGCATGGCGGAACCCGAATGGAACTTTAGATTTGTGCATGACGATCGAGATCAAGTTGACATCCTCCAATCACCGTTCTTTGACGTGGGCTTCTATTTCGACGACACCATTGAAGATTACATCGACCGTATCCATTACACCTTAGTGGATGTGATCGACGAGCAAAGATCAAAGGGACGTTGGATCATCCTTGGACGACTGCCATCCTCCACCACTCCGGCCACCTATCCAAGAACGACGATCTTAGGCTCCTTCTTCCTCGGAGTGACCTCGATTCTAATGTGGAGACTCTTCTTCCGCTAAAAGCCTAGACTAGTTTAGCGTATGGACTCCAAAGGTGAAAGTTCTCATTATTATATCGCGGATTCTTGTTTATCGTCGTAGTTTTACAATTGATCTTTGCGTTTTCTTAAATTGTTTGGTTAACCGACTTCGCTCTTTTTTGCCTACGCAAGTTAAAAACCAAGAATTCTAAGGATCAATCATTGTTATAAGTAATAAATTTATTGTGGAAACACTTTGTTAATTCACTATCTTTAAATTTCCTAAGTAACTTCGGATTTGTTTCACATCAAAATCTCTTTAATCTTATTTTCCACGGGAACTACTTCAACATTTTCAGGTCCCAAGTCTTGGATGAGAAAAGTAGAGGGTTGCGTTTGGCAGTCGACAGCCATCGTAAAACTTGTCAAATAATCATGATATACGAGATTATCCAAACTTCATTTTTGCTAGCTTATAGTCAAAATGAGTGTGCCAATGAGTCGAACCCATTGATACCATAGAGTTTGATTTGAGTCCAACTGGACTTAAAAAGTACTTGGAAATATAGTTGGGAATTTCTCAAGACTATTTAAGGTGCCAAACATTATATGAATCTTGTTCGCTTATAATCGAAATGAGCTGCTTGATGAGATGAACATGATGAGCGCAAGATTGCTCAATTATGATATCATACATGCTCTAGGATGTCTAAAACTCTTATATGATCGAGCGGGGGGGGGGGGGGGGGGGGGGGGGGGGGGGGATTTTGATATGCCACCGGCCCAAGAGGGGTCGGCTGAATCGGTCCTGGTTTATTTCAGGCGGGCAAAAGCTAGGGAAGGAGGGCGGAAATCATGTGGGCCCCATGATGGGCTATTGGGCTTAATGCAATTTTTGGGGGGAAAGATTTGAATGTAAAGGGTGATTAGGTAATTTGTAATCCTCCTTTCATGATAATTAGGGAGAATATGAGGGAATTATGGTTATCTTGAATTTGAATGAGATTTGAGATCTAAGTTTTTCTTGCTTTGAGCTCTTGGCGTTGCTGGAGATTTGGAGAGTCGTTCTTCCTCTCAAATTGAAGAACACTTGTATCTTTGCTGATTTTATTCATCTACTAGTGAACTACAAGCCTTTGCTTGAGTTTTCTTTCAGTTTTCTCGCAATTTCTCGCTGACTCCTGTGTTTGGCTGCTGTCCACTGCTGAAGATCAGCAGTTTTCTTTACTTCAGATTTGGCTAGGAACTACTTGAAACCAAGTATTTTGTATCAGATTTACTAGGACCATCCGATGTAATGTTATGATTTATGGCTGAAATATCTAAAATATTCCTCACCGGTAATCTATAAATAGGCCTTCCACACATTGAACAAGGCTAAAAAGGCCTAATGAAGGAGAGTATAGAAGAAAATTTAGAGCTTTATCTAGCAGCACTCGACGTTCATTTTTGGCCATAGTTTATGCCCGCCTTTGTGACAAATACCGATGTCCACCATCACTAATAAGGCCGTTGCCTGCCGTTGTAGACATGGCCACTGCCTATCATAAATACAAACTCTAACATCCACCATCGCCAACATGGTCGATGCCCATCGTTGATATCATTGTCGATGTTGTCGCTAACAATACTAATGCATGTCGTTGTCAATAAGACCGACACCCTCATCAACACTACCATCAAAGATGTGAATTGGAGCTACCAATATTGTATGTGAAACAAGTTTCAATGATAATTGACACTGCATGTATACTCATTCTGCTGCTGGGTTTTGTGGGGGAGTGGAATTTTCGAATAATCTTCTGTTTCATGATCCTCAATACATATTAACTCTTTTGATTGACATCCCACATGCTTTTGAATCTTTAAGCCTAAGTAGTCCCTTGAAATAATTCACAGTTTTAGGGGTTCCGTATTGATTGGTTTGCATCAAGCGTTAGAAAAGGTCTAAATTTCTGAGATGTTTCAAATTCCATAGAGCAAGCCTTAAGTATTAATACATTTTCACATCAATGCATTCCTCGTTTTGGTTACATGCAACATGCTATTTACCTTCTTTACACTTGTCTGTTGAAATATCTCATCTTTACGCTTCTGTTGTAGGGACTGATCTATGTTTTCTCAATAACAGTGTCGGTCTTATTTTATGTTTCATGGAATGGATGCAAGCAAAGCACAGTCCATTTTTATGTTCCTCCCTATTTTATATTTTACAGAGAGCTACATATATCAGGTAACGTTCTCAAATTCCATTTGAAGAGGCTACTCCAGTTTCTGTATATTATATTTGTAAGTGAGGTGTACCAGCCATGCTTTTACTATTTTCTGCTTTCTTCAGTTAGATACTTTGAACGAGAAGCAGCTACTTCGATCAGCACATGATGTAAGAGATCTGTGAACTGGTTCTTATCATTTGAATATCTTAAAAAACTACACCACGCCAAAAGATTTAGTTTTATGGTTACCTATTGTAATCCTTCAATCAAAATGTAGCTATGCGACTAATCATACAGTTTTCTGATGTTGGCAAGGAAGGCCTCAGAGAATTTTTGCCATAAATGCTCCACGTCTAATCCCTTTGATCCACTCGTTCATCTTCTTCAACAGCAGGGATTAATGACAGAGCGGTCTGAATATTGTATTTCTTATCTTTTGATTTTAGAAAACCTTTATAGGGAGTTCTCATGTGTGACACTTTTTCTTTTCCATCTTTATTGTTTTGTTCAGAATAAGGAATGAACTCAACCTTGGTGTTGAATATTGGAAACTAGAAAGGAAACTTTGTGATGAATTAGCAAAGAAGACAATGGTATGATCACTTATTTTCTTGTTTAATTTTTTCTCCGCTGGTTCTGTTGTTAGATTCCTGAATTGGTCATCAAAATTCTTTCTTGAAATATTTAGACCCATTTACTATGCATTGCAGGAAGACGAAAATGCTGTTACACTCTAATGAACTCAATCAATCTCATATGAATAGAACTTAAGTTCACAGACATCGACAGCTAAATATGTAATCAAAATAAAGTGCTAAAATAACAACTATGGAACAAAATATCTCTTCTGCTTAATTATGAGCTTATTGTAAGGGTAGGTTGTTTTTGTTTTTTTCAATGATAGGCTATTACAATATGCAAAAGTAGAATTTCATAATTCATGTTACCAAACATATTTTCATTTGAGAAGCGAACTTTACAGCATTTGTAACTTATTAGGAATCAATGAATCATGCAAGCAAACAATCAATCACTCATTATCCCATTCAGTTATGCATTGACTATTCATTAACACGATGGCAAACCTGTGTAAGTCACAAATTGCTAATTGATACTTCAGCATACGATGCCTTGGGTTTGTAATACAATTAGAACAAGTCAATGAATATTAATCACACAACGAAAAATAAATACACAGATCAAAGACTATCAAATTCATAAAAATTCTCTCTCCTTAGATCCAAGCAAAATAGTATGAAAATTTGAACTCAAGCTGTGATGCAATGATTGAGTAAATTCAAGGAAATCAACAAGAAATTCGGACTGCAGAAAAGTCAGCAAACAATTGAATTTTAACACCATAATTGATATGTCAGTTGTATAAAATTTGATTAAAATTAAGAACCCTAGCAAAACCAACAATAAAATATTTAGAACAAAATAGATAACGGAGGGAGATTACCAGAATGAAAAAAAATTCAGGCCTTATGTTGACTCAAGCAAATGAATTCTCTTGGAATTAGATAGTTGCAATTACACCGCTCTTGATGAAATCTTCTATTTAACATGCACTTACGAGATTGAAAATTGGATAAAAATTATTATGGAATAAATTAATTTAACGGTTACTTGTTAATTTTAAATTAATCAGTTTATTTTTATAAATTTAAGTTCTCCACTCTCACACAAAATAATTATCTAATTTTTTTCACATAATATTACCATTTAATATTTATATCTTCTTTTAAATTTACATAAATAATAAATTACTTGTTTTTTTGTATTTTTTTCTTATAACTTATATAAATATTTGTAGATAAAATCTCCTAATTTATGAATACAAATCATTCTTATGTTAAAATAATACTAAAATGCTATTCTAAATTTCAAATTTTTATTAATTAGTAACTACATACAATTGGCCTGATAAGTTTTATACAAATTTTCAAGTTTTCCTATATCTAAATAACTACAAAAAAAATTAAATAACTGAAAAAATTCTATAAATGCTGAAATTCTTACCTTCCCCACAGACGTGAACCATCTCATGCCCTAGTTGCTCACTTGCACTCGTCTTAGTCGTTCTACACGCAATACCTCTCAACCTTGCTTGGTGGTTCACTCACTGATTTTCTCTTGATTTTCTCTCTCTCTCTCGAGATAATCGAACTCTCCTCAGTATCCTTCTCACTGCCATGCAACAGCTCTCGTTCTCTCATTCTCACTTCCCTTCTTTGTTGTTAGATTTTTCTACCCATCTCCTCACGCGATCGTAAGGAGACAAAACTCCTTCGACAAACTGTTAAAGACGCACCCTTCGTCTCCATCTTTCCTTGTGAAGCTAATAAACAGAACCAACATCGACTGTGTTGGTTAGATTATATATATAGTACAATACTACAATCTTTCTTACAAAAATTTCATCCTTGAAATTTACATGTAGGTTCTAGTTACAATATGTAATCATGAAATAAATTAAACATACTACGCTTTGTTTTAGCAAAATGATATCATCTTAATTTCATCCAGTATAAATTTTAATATTGAGTACATAACTTGATATAGTAAAACATCTGATATAACATAACAAATTACAATGTATTAGATATTAACAACTTCTAAAATAATTTTGTCTACATCAATAGATTCATCAGGCTTCTGTTGAGTCAAAAGCGTAAAGTTGTGGTTGAACGCTCTACCTTGATTGTACTTGTATTGGAGTTGAAGATGTCGATTCTTTCATTTTTTTTGTTTGCCAAAATTCTTTTGTGAAGGTTCTCCATCTAATTTTACCTTTTTTGAAGCCTTCTGATCAAGGGTAGAGCAATACTTTGCTGCGTTCGTGCTAACAACCCTAGTAGCAAGTGTTAGAATTCATCAAACATTAACCTTTATGAAATCTTTCATATTTGGCATAAGCTTTCACCGGCAACAATACTAGAACTCCACCAGTGCTAAACCTAGGCTTCTTCCTATTTGATCTTTTGTACTGATTAATATGCATACCTTCTTTGGTGTTTTCACCATCAAGATTCAAAATAGTCTTATCCAACTTTGTAGCCGGTTTATGGTTCATGCTTCGTTTGCCATTCATGCAATTATGTTCTTATGGGCTAGATGTGATATGAAACTTGTAATTCTTTTGACCTAATCAAATGTCTGTTTTGGATTTTGCTTTATTAAACAAAGTTGCCGGTAAATCAAATCCAAATCTTTTTGATTGGCTGAGATAAACTTTTTCAGTTGTTGTATTCCCTGATGTATATTGCATCCCTAGACTAATACTTTCCTTGATCAAATTGGCTACGTTGGATTTAAGTAGAAAATTAATATATTTTGAACCACTGTCTTGTATACAATACAAGATTCTGAACCTTTTTTTTTTCCTGTTGACATCATGCAGCTTTACATATTTCATTTCAATATTAAAATCTTTCTGACTTTATTAATGGTGTAAAGCTTTGATATTTCAGATTCAGATTGAAGATGTAATGAGAGCAATTCATTTGAAGTCATTTGATTATCGAGTTTTGAATCTTTTGTTATATCAGCTTAGAGGTCAACCGGTGAGCACTTGTTAACCTGAAGTTAACATATCTTCAGGTATTATCAATATTTTGTACCTCTGTTATGCTATTAACATGGTCCTAGTTATATTTGCAACTTATAGAGTATCTTTGTTTTGGATCATGCTTTTTTTTTATTTTTTATTTAAAGTTGCAATATATTAATTTGAACTTATGTAGTGTAAATTTCCAACAAACATTGGGCTTACATCCTTACATTTTTTGGGGTAAATACATAAAATTTGATAGAACGTTTTAAGGGTTTTTAATGGAGATCTAATATAAGAGGTAGAAAACAATACAACCAATAAAAAATTTTCATAGGACAGAAGCTATTGGCCTTATTTTCTAACCTTTGATGTAAACATAAAAAAATGCCTAAAATCCACAACAACAACATCAAGCCTTTGTCTCACTACGTGGGGTTGGCTACATGAATCCTTTTTCGCCATTGTGTCATGTTAAAAGTCAAATTCTCATTTAAATCTAATAAAGAAAGATCATTTTTAATATTTTCTAACCAAATCTTTTTAGGTCTAGCTCTACCTTTCTTAACATAAGACAAATCTAATACCTCAGCTTTCCTAACTGGGTAATCTGAAGGCCTTCGTTTACAGTGGCCTAAAATCCAATTATGAAGAAAATTTTTCATTATTACTAGAAATTAATGGTTGGAAAATTAAGGTTCACAAAGCCACACATATGCTTGAGAACTCATGCAACAGAAAGAAATAAAGATGGTAGTAAAAGTGACTTATGAGGATCAAATTGTGTTATGACTTGAGGTTTGGAATTGCAGCTTTGTTTTGAGTTAGCAGTTGTCTTGAACAATTATTCTTTCATAATACAAGTAGATTATCTAAAAACATAACTAGAGATCCCCTTTTTTAGAAATTGTGTTAAACTATTTATTAAAGAGGTATTTTATCATGTTATTCCAATTCCAGATAGATTCAAACAACTTTTCTGGTTTTACAAATAAAAATTTTCAAATCTCTGTTTATTTCCCCTACATTATAATTATGATAGCATCCATTTTATACAGCTTATTCCGAACTAAAGCTATATATAACAATCTTTTTTTCAAGGTCAATGAATTGCATATGGAGTTCCTTTCAGTGTCAGAATTCCTTGTTGAGGTTTCGGATGACTTGTAAGTTCTATAACTAGCAACTTTACATCTTAAAAAAGATTAAACATTAATTATATATAGATTAATTCACTAACCAATTCATTTTTCTCACTTTTGTTGATGATTGGCCATCAATGAGAAATGTTCCAGGTATGACTATGAGGTCTGTCATTATCTTGCTTGATTATATTAAAAAACCTTATCTTGATATATTTCCATAAAATCTGAAACTGTTTACCTGAGGTTACTGGAATTATAACAGGAAGATGTAATTGATAACACTTTCAACATCTTGCGAATGTTCGTGGGGATATATGGACCCTCAAAGGCCCCGGTTCTGCTGGTCATTTCTACATCTAAATTTTTTATTTTTTTTAAACAAGTGCTCATTTGGTTGCTGTAAACAGAAAATATGTTCATAAATGATGATTTCATCTTTTTCTCAAATGAAAAATGAATAATCTTTTTTGAAGAAATTTGTTTGTTTTAAAATCATTTATAATTTTTAATGAACTCTCTATGGCCAATTTATGGAATTTGTGATTTTTTTTGCAGGCAAAATGCATAACAAAGGCTGAAGAGAATTATGATCGTTTGTCGAGGGCCCTCGATCCAGAGCTCTCCCTCAACTATTGGAGAAGATATGAAGAAGCAACCAGAGAAGGTTTTCTATAATTGTCATCTTCCACATTTCCCCCTATTATTCTTTTATTTATACTTAATTATTTTCGAAAAACTTTCTTAGGATGTTCAAAACTGGAACCTGCTGTCGGAAAATGGACCATTCCTTCAATTATTGTGGATGAGGAATCATTCAGATTGCAGGCTTTTGCTAACAATGTAAAAACTAAAACTTACTGATTCCAAATTATGGTTTTATTTGGGACAGCTTTTTTACTGTTTTTTTAAGCATAGTAAGAAAGTCATCTCAAACTAACGAAAAATTATTGCGTCCTCCCACCTGACGTAGAGATGCGTCCTCCCACCGCCAAAAAACTCGGTTTTTGCTCGGTATTGCTAGGTATTATTTGGTAATAACGAGGAATATCATCATGTGAAGACCAATACCGAGTTATACCGAGCTATACCGAGCAATACCGAGCACATACCGAGTTTTCTCTAGGAAAAACTATGTATTTTTTACCGAGCACATACCGAGTTTTCTCTAGGAAAAATTATGTATTTTTTGTATTGCTCGGTATTGCTCGGTATGACTCGGTATTGGTCTTCACATGATGATATTCCTCGTTATTGTTTGGTATTGCTCGGTATTTGCTTGGTATTTCTCATTTTTTAGCGCGATTTTAGCTCTGGGAGGACGCATCTCTACGTCAGGTGGGAGGACGCAATAATTTTTCCAACTAACGCTTAGTTTGGGACGGCTTTTTTTCTGCTTTTTAAAACAACATTTTAATACAAAAATTTTAATTTTTGTACTAAAAAGTTGCTTTAAGAAAAAGCCGTCCCAAATGAAGCCTAAGCCTATATTTAATCATGTAGCTATTGTTGGTATTATAAAACTAAGCCTTCTCTCATTTGAAATTCTGCTTAGGTTGATTTGTGATACAGAAGAGTGGAAGCCAAATATAGTATCAAACACAGTAGAACTGAAAAAAGATTGGTCTGAAAGGGGTTTTGTACTGTTATTACTCTCATTGCATTATTGTCTTCTGCAACTGTATCAGAGATTGAATATTATTAATTCTTTTCTCTGTTAAAGAACTTTATTGGGAGACTTTTGAGGCCTACGACCGGATGTGGTTGAAACTGCTCAGCATAAAGATGTCTTCTGTCGGGAAGAAGAGCTTAAGGAAATTTACAAATCATAATCAAATTCTGTTTCATTTTGTTTAAATAGTTTACTTAAAAATAAAATTGAGCGATTTTGTAATATATTTTTGCTTGGAAAGTATTTTATTAGACTATCAGTGCAAATTGGACTTAATTTTTTTTCATTTTTTTTTTTTGAAAATTATTGTAAGAGTTTGAAGGTAGTAAAAATGATTATGAATATTAAAAACTTATGAGAGTGAACAAGAATGAATTTTGAAAATTTGAGTAAAACTGAGGTCTTTTTCAGAAAATAAGGTCATGCTTCTCAAATAATTATTTATTTAAATATCTTCTGATCATAGGCTTCAATAGTGGATTAAGAATTAAATTTATTTTTTTAATTATATTTAGGAGTATAATTATTTTATTAGAGTGATTTGTAGTTTTGTGAAGAAATGATGTTGATGGCTTTGGGAAGGCAGTAGCTGTACATAGGACCAACCAAAAGAAAAATTTGTAGAGAATCTATGGAGAGATTGGATTTGTGTTAACAAAGTCAAGAGGCAGAGGATTATGGTGATTGGTTAAGCTTCCCCTTTTCAAACAGTTATTTAAAAAAAAAAATTCATTTTTGATTAGTTTATAATAGAGTTGCTTTCATTCAAGATAAACAATTATTATTATTATTACTAAAACATTTGAATCATATTATATAATTAGTCGAATACGTCAAAATATATAATCTATTGAGTAGAACATGTTAAATAGTTTGACGTATTTTAGGAATATGCCGAACTATTTGACATATTCTACTGAATAAATCACACTTTTTGATGTATTCGGCCAATTTATTTGACTTATTTAATCTTTTTTTAATTTAAATTTAAGTCTGTTTCACTTAATTAATCTTAAAATATGCTCTTTTTAAAAATTATCAGAAAAATAAAAATAAAAATTATCCAATTTGACCTCTCAAAAGGAAAAAAAAAGATTCTTTTTTGCTTTATACAAATTTTCCTTTATTAAAAAAAATATAAGATTATCCAATTCCAGTCTTTTAAGAATTTAAGTTGATGAAACATAAGTCAACTACAAAGACCACCCTTTAGTAAACAAAGGATCTTCAATATTATTTAGTAATAAGAAATGTAATTTATTTCTAATAATATTTAAAAACTTGCTATAATTAGTACCATACTTTACCACTTAGGCCGCGCTAATCATAATTTTTATGAATATAATATTTTTTGTTTGGTTAACATTAATTAATGAGCTCATTAATCCTTATTGATGTGGTAATTAAGCACTAATTAGGGTGCTTGCTTGATTTGGTAGATAGCTAATCAACGAGGTTAGGTGGGATTATGTTGTGCGGATGCAACAAAAATGTTCTATAATGCCCATGATTAGTTTTTTAATTAAGCAACGTTTATTATATTTATAAAATAAATATATTTATTGATAAAAAAAATATTTTATATTTGACAAATATACTATAAAAAGATAATAGGCTAATATATTTTTATGATAATGAGTGTTAAATAATTACCACCTCTAATCATTGAGTCATGGATCCTAAATAAAAATTTGTTGATACATTTTTATGTGAAATTTATATTTTTCTGAAATAAAGAGAAAATAGTCTTTATATCATATAAATATTTTATATTTATGCTCCTTAAGATTTAAATAATATAATTGTATTTGAATAATTGAATGCTGTTTATAAATATGCAAAATTGAAATATTTGGATTTAAAAATCATGCAAAAATGGGAGTAATTCCATAGGTTGAGAAAAAAATATTATTGGATATATATATATATTATAACTGGCTTTTACTGTAGAGAATAGAATTGAAGTTGGCATTTTCTTCACTCCATCTCCAACACATGTGATGCATTCTTTATTGTGAAAAACATTTTGTCTCTTCCACAAAAAAAAAAAAAAAAAAAAAAAAAAAAAAAAAAAAAAAAA